ATCCTATTGGCCAGATCTTAATCATGTGACCACATCTGGCTTGGAAGGGAGGCTTGGAAATACAGTCATTAGCTGGGAAGCCAGGTGACAATAGATAACAACAGGGGAGGCTTTATTGCTAAAAGAAGCAAGGGGAAAGTGGTCCTGAGAAAGAATTAGCAGTAAGGGAATGAGGCTATTTTCTTCAACCCAGAGAGAAATGGGAATTCATTGAGAGTTTCAAGCAGGAAGTGCATGGTCAGTGTTTGTAAGAGATCACTGTGGCAGAGGATGGAGTGGAGAGGGACAGGTAATACAGGGAGTGGCAAGTTCTCTCTGCTCTTCCAGGATTTGGTTCTCCATCTTGGCTGGAAGCTTCATGAAGGTAGAGACATGACGCTTTCTCCTAACTCCGGGATGATTGCAGGGAGTTTCTCAACTCCCAGTCCAGTTGAGAGACCCTCTGCAGGGCCCAGGACTCAGTCTTTTCAGCAGAAACCCTGACCCTCTGTCCCCCCCTTTTCCTCACTCATTCCCCCCTTCCTCACCACAGCACAATTGCCAGCACCAGGGCAGACACCAAGTCCCCTCTGTCTACAACAGCCAGGCTGCCTCTGGGATGACCCCAGGCATCTAACTAGCAACCGGGTGTTGGGGGGCCCCCTCCTAGGCAAGCCTCGCCCACTTCCTCCTCGGCCTGCCATAAATGGGCAGATTTTGCAGAAGCCTGATGTTGGGAAATGAACCAGTTTGGTGTTAAGAGCCTCTGAGCTCTGTGTATACCAGCACCACGGCAGATGTAAACACTCACGGCCTCTCTTCTCTGGCTAGATAAACTTCAGGCTTTTAGGGGGAGGCACCACCCCATCACACTCACAGTGTTTAAAAAAGGTGTCAGCTGCAGCGCGTGCTCTTGGCAGACTGCAACTCTCCCTCTCCCAGCTGAAGTCCCAGATTCTGGGCCACTGATGCACAGGCCAGGGGCATGGGGGGCCCAGAGTTCATCTTCTAAAGGGGCCAGCCTGGGACCTTCTGGTTTGTGGACAAGGCAGGGCGAACTGTGAGGAATAAATCCTGAGATGCTGTGGAAACCTTCAGCATCCTCCAAAAGCTCTGCCTGACCCACACAGACATGTTTTTTTAGTTTAAGCTTTAGATTCTGTGAAAATAAGAATGCTACTACCATCATCCCTGACTGGGTTACGTTCTAAACTTTATCCATTATTTGTTATTCATGTATTCATCTGAGATTTATTGAGCACCTACTGTGTGCCAAGGTGCCAGGTTTTACACTGCCCTGCCCACTCAAAGTTCCCTAAAATCCCATCACGGCCAATCCCGTTAGTTAAAGGTTTTCACATCTACCTATCTATCTGTCAAGTATCTATCTCTCTATTAGATATGTATCTACTTATTATAGATAGATGCTTCCACGGTGGCTCAGATGGTAAAGAATCTGCCTGCAATGTGAGACACTCGGGTTTGACATCTGTGTTGGGAAAATCCTCTGGAGAAGGAATGGGAACTCACTCCAGTACTCTTGCCTGGAAAATTCTATGGACAGAGGAGCCTGGCAGGCTATAGTCCACGGGATCACAAAGAGTCAGACACACCTCAGCCACTAAGCCACAGCATTATAGATAGATAGATAAACAGATGATATATGCAATATATACAATCTACCGTCCCTCGCCCCTGAGTCATTTTAAATTTGATTCATCATTTTCATTCAGTCCCCCTTTAAAGGGTACCTGTGTTACGCTTGCTACTCTCCTGAACAAAAGGCATAAACAAGACAAAGACACAGCCCAGGCCCTGAGGAACCCCCCACCTGTGTGACAAGGAGGTGACCAAGAAGTGGCTTCATGAGACCTGAGGCCGACAGGCCGGTGCAGACTGTGCAGGATGGAGGAAGCCATCAGGAAGCGGCCCCCTGCACAGGCCAGAGGACCCGGGGCCAGCCTCCTCCCCTCGGGAGCTCCCCCTCCTCTTCTCCAAAGGAGAAACTAGATCAGGGCTCCTGTGTCTTTGAATTTCATGGACCAGTAAAGCATCAAAACACCTAACTGAGGGAACCATACAGCTCAGCAGCATGGTATTCCACTGAGTAATAAACATTAAAGGAACAGAAAAATCACGGAGGCAACTACCATCTGCCATCACCACTATCTCATGAAACAAAGGATATTTTAACCCCCAAAGCAAGAAGCGCATAGTTCCAGAATGAAGGCTGATTTTTCAAATGGGATTCATTTACCCAAATAAACAACTCCCCGTGCCGTCCTCGACCTCGTTTTGCCCAGCCCAGGTGAACTTCGCGGTGACCAGATGACCTGCAGCCACATGTGACCCGCTGAAGCCATGACCAGGTGACATGGCATCTCTGGGATGCTGTTGAGGGGCACCTGGGCCACAGCGCTTCCTGGAACCCCTTTCTTTCTCCCATCCCTTACCCCTGCAGCAGCTCCTACCGTCGCCTCCAAACGCCCTGATATACAACTCCTCTTCTATTCTAGTCTTCAGGACTCCAGCTTTAAAACCACAATAGCACAAACCATGACTCTAATGGGTCCTTCTAGCTCAGAGTGATCCGACCTGGGGCTGTCCAAGGCCACTGTCTCACCATCACTGCTCAGCCACCCTCTTTGCCCACACCCGCTCCTCTCCCCTCCCTTCTCCAGGGGTTGATCCCATGGGCTCCTTAATAAGGAGCACTCTAAAGTCGGAACCAGAGTAGCCTCCCAAGGGTACCCAACCTGCGCCGCCACTCAGCCCATCCAGCAGAACCGGTGGGCAGCATTCTCCTCCACTTCCTGGTGGAGGGAACTTCCCATACAAATCCTCGAAGACCAAACTGCAGTCTGGACGTGTGCAGAGATGCTAAAGGAATTCAGAGTGTTTTCCTGTTTTGAGAAAGACCGGCCTTCATGGCCATTGTTTAGTGATGGACTTCGCAGGCCAGCTCTGCACACTCCTCTGTCCAGGGCGGCCCCACCCTCTCCTTCTACGAGGCCACCAATACATAGTTGGAAAGCTACAAGAGCACATGATTTAAGGGGGAAATAAAACTCTTAGATTTAACAGCTCCAAAACATAATCCTCATGTAAATACTAGAGGTGGTGGGATGCTGGCGGGGAGGAGAAACGGGTACTATTTGGGGGTTCTCTGATGGGTGATACACTCTCTGGTGTCCTATCCTTGCACTCTGCTTGTACCTGAAACTCAAATTCTCACAGCCTGAAGGAGGAGGCAGAACCACCAACAGAGTAGGTTGCCCCAGCTTACATCCTTATTTCTACACATTCTGCCTCCAAAACCCTGGTCAGTGGAGCATGAGACAAACAAGCCCTGAAACTGGAGTGTCTGCTGCTCTCCCACCAAAAGACATCAGAGGCAGAGGTCGTTCAGCAAAAGGCAGTTGTCCAAACAGAGGCTGGTGGCCCAATCCAGACAGGGAACAGGCCTCCCTCTGCCCCATGGCTTGGCCATGGGGTGGGAGCCATTGTGTCCTAAGCTGACTCTGGGAGGGCAGGGCGCCCAGGGTCCTACAGTATACACACCCACAGGAGGCATAGGCGTCCCCTGAGGCTGGCTGGAGTCCAAGGAGATGAAGCACACTTGAACCCTCCAGGCTTTAAGGAGGGACATGCCCTGCCCTTCTGAGGCTGCCGGGTCTTGATGGTCTACACCCCCACGGGTGTGCACAGGTACACAAATGTGCATGCGCTTACACATGCCTGTTACATACACGTACAGTCACCCAGACACAGCAGCTTCAGGCAGTGCCCGACACATCACACAGTCCGGGCGGAAGAGTGGAGTCTGCGGGCCGCCCCTCGGGGTTTTCTGGAGCTCACAGGAGAAGCAGTGAGCTCTGTGCTTGTCCTAAGACAGTGGTTCCAAAGTGAGGCCCCTGGGCCAGCAGCATTAGCATCACCTGAGAACGGGTTGGACATGCTTTGCATTCCATCTTGGCCACAGAGCCCTGAGCAGGCCCCGAGGCCTCCCATGGGGCTGCGACTCCTTGTCACGCCTTTTATGCGTCAGCTCCCGTGCTAAGCAGACTAAACATAAAATATCTCATTTAAAACTCACCAATGCACTGTGAGATGCACACTGTATCGTTCTGATTTTTTTTTCAGATGGGGAAAGTGAAGTTCGAAAAGGCTTAGGGGTCCTTGCCTAGAGTCCCCGAGGCTCCCACGCCTGTGCCCCTAGTCACATTCTAGATGTAGCTGCGGCCCAACTGAATGTAAACACCCTACTGAGGACTGTGCCCTCCATGCCAGGCCCCACCCCTGCCACCCCCCACTTTCCCTGGGTCTCTCCCTGCCTCAGCAGCCAGTCCTAAATCTTTCCTAAGAGACGAAGCCGGGCCATCCACGCAGGAGGTGGGACGAAGGGTGGAGGCAAAGCCCCAGCTCGTGAGAAGACAGCACCTCTGCCAAGGCCCTCACACCCCGCGCCACACGGCCCCGCCCGGAGAGCTGTGGGAAGACCGCCCGGCTGCACCCCAGCGCCTGGAGAGACCGCCTGCTGCACAACTGACCTGCCGAATCCAGACAGCTGCTTTGTGCACGTCTGATCCCTAATGGTCCTTGAATCACATTAGCAGGGACCTGGGTTCGAGTTTATCACCAACTTACTACATGACCTGGGCTGGTCCCCACTTGGAATCTGTTTTTCCATTTCTGCAGTGAAGACGCAGGCTGATGATTTATAAGGATGCTTCTTACTCTCAGACCACGTCTTGGATTCTAGATATCCACGTGACATTGGAGAAGGCTGGCCAGGACATGGGAATCTGAAGTGCCTAGGGCTCTGGACCCGGCTCTCTGCTCAGCCTAACTCATCTCTGTTTGAGACTTGGGAGTGACCCCCCGGCTCCCTGGACGCGCCTGGCTCGGCACCCACTCCTCTGCTCCCCACACTCAGAGAGGATTTGTGTGCTCCCACAGGGCACCAGGGCCTGGAGGGAGCTAAGGAGCCTTACCCCTTGTCCCCAGACCCAGAGGCGGCCATGGGGGCCTGTGTCGTGACGACCGATATCAATATCTCATCTGGCCTTGACAGCAACACCACGGGCATCACAGCCTTCTCCATGCCCGGCTGGCAGCTGGCACTGTGGACCGCAGCCTACCTGGCCCTGGTGCTGGTGGCTGTGATGGGTAATGCCACAGTCATCTGGATCATTCTGGCCCATCAGAGGATGCGCACGGTCACCAACTACTTCATCGTCAACCTGGCCCTGGCCGACCTCTGCATGGCTGCCTTCAATGCTGCCTTCAACTTCGTCTATGCCAGCCACAACATCTGGTACTTTGGCCGTGCCTTCTGCTACTTCCAGAACCTCTTCCCCATCACAGCCATGTTCGTCAGTATCTACTCCATGACTGCCATTGCTGCTGACAGGCAAGAAGGGGCAGCGGGACAGTGGGGCAGCTGGGGGGAGCCGGCTCACTGTGTTGGCTTCAGAGAGGGCTGAAAACACGCCCCTAGTCACACAGCAAGTTAAGGGTAGAACCCAGGGAATTAACTGCCTCCTAACATGTTCATGATCCTAAACCATGCATCTGGAATAGTCTCACAGAGGACTGTGCAACTGAGATGAGAAAGGATAAGGTTAGACATGAGAAAGAACTTTGCCCAAGATGGCTGTTCAAGGCTATAGGGGAAGAGCAACAGTGTTTTAGGGACCTTCTGGAGTGTTCTTCTCTGGAGTTGATTTTTGTTTTGGTTTCTTTCTTTTACAAGGAAATTGCTTATATTGTTTCCTATTCCTAGATAGATTATATGAGGGGGGAAATTAAACGCTGCATGCAGTTACCACATAATTACGATGAGGCCAATTACCTCCTGGGTCTGATCTCCTGGGCTGCAGACTGAGCCTCTGCAGGGGATGGGGGCAGGAGGGTGGAAGAGTGATCAGTCGGCAGATCTGAAAGTCACCGAAGACTTTCTCGTTCTCCCAATAAGTATTTGAGGCACTGTTTCAGGCACTGGGGAATATACACCAGTGGGAAAAGCATGGTCTCCTGGAACTTCCGCCTTAAAGGTCAGGTGGGGGGTGGGTAGTATGGACTGTAGAGGGCAGGGTGGAAGCCAGGAGTCCAGACAGGCAGGAGGCGGTTGACTAGTAACTCAGGGGAGGGAAGATGGTGGCTCAGGTCCGGACGGTAATAATGGAGACTCATCCACTCATTTCTTCATTCATTCTTACGTTCAGTGCCCACTGTGTACAGATACTGTTCTGCACATTCAGGTAAAAACAGATAAAGATGCCTGCCCTGGTGAAAATTTAAATAGAAACACAAGACTAAATAAATTATATATTGTATTTTGAGGTCATGAGGGCTATGGGAAAATATTAGGAAGGGGATAGGGGATTTGAAGTGCTAGGGTTTGTGTTTTGGAGTGGGGCAGGTAGTATATCAGATATCGTGTCAGGATCAGCTAAAGGGTGGGATTTGAGCTTTGTCTTATTGTCCTGGCTTTGTCTCAAGATTCAGATTAATCCCAGGGAGGAAGACTCGGGTGCTCATCTAGGACCAAGTCATTTCTGCATATGTACAGCACTTCCCCCACTGCAGAGAGCTGGTGGGCAGCTGCTTTGGACTTTGTGCAGAAGACCTTGGGGCTCTGTTAAAGTTTCTGAACGGAAGAGAAGCTGTGTTGCTGAGGAACTCGGCAGGGCAGAGCTGCAGGGCAATGCCCCAGATGGATTTCTGGTGTGGCCACACTGCCCTCTTGTGGCCTTCTGAGAGCATGTCCACGCTCAGAAGGAGGCGACGTGGTGGAGAGAGGTTTAGGGCCGTGCGTGTGCCGTGTGTCTACAAGACAGTCACCAGCCCGGCAGCTCTCTGCAGGTCACCAGCTGGGTGCGGGGAATAGGACTGGAGAGTGTGGGCCTGGAGTGGGAAGAGGAGATGCAGGCTGGTCTGATGGGAGTGCACCCCCCACTCACACCGCCCTCTGCTCACAGGTACATGGCCATCGTCCACCCCTTCCAGCCCCGGCTCTCAGCTCCTGGCACCAGAGCGGTTATTGCCGGCATCTGGCTGGTGGCCCTGGCGCTCGCCTTCCCCCAGTGCTTCTACTCCACCGTCACCACGGATGAGGGCGCCACCAAGTGCGTGGTGGCCTGGCCTGAAGACAGTGGTGGCAAGATGCTCCTTTTGTAAGGCCTGGGGGTGGGGGAACACGGTGTGTGTGCATGTGCCTGTGTGTGCGTGCGTGCACATTCATGGGGTACACATGTGCAGTGTGTAAGTGTGAGTGCACTGGTATCTGTGAGTGAACTGGGGATAATGTGGGCACAGTATCAACTAAAAGTGACACTTAGCACTCAGTAAATGTCAGGTCTGGTCTAAGCACTTTACATACATGAACCCATTTAATTCTCATAACAGTATGGGTATGTACTATTATTATTCCCATTTCTCAGATGAGGAAACCAAAGCACTAAAAAAAAAACTAAGGGCCTGGACCACACAGCTGCTAAGTGGTAAATCAAGGATTTCAATCCAGGCAGTCCTGCTTCAGAGCCCAGTCTCCTCAACACTCTTGCTTAAATAAGGGGCGTGTCAGGGTGGCAGAAAGAAAGGGCAGATGATGGAATCTGGGGTGTTTTCAGGAGGAGCCTGGAGACAGCCTTGAGTTGAGGCGGGCACCATGGGCTAGGGGGTGGGGGCAGAAAGCAGGACTCAGACACGGTGCAGCCGCTGTGTGACCCTGGGCAAGTCCTTTCCTTTTCTGGGCCTCAGTTCGCCTACTCCTCACGTGCTTCTGTCATCCCCACGCACCTTGGAAGTTCAAAATAGAGGATAAAGAACTGGTTGAGGTTCTGGGGACAGTATTCGGGTTGGAATCCTGCTCTGTCCCCTGCTGGCTCAAGGATCCTTTGAGTCACTTAACCTCTCTGAGCCTTTGGCTCTTTCTCTCTCCAAGGAGATTCGCAGGAGCACTTTGCTCAGGGACTGTTGTGAGGCCCTTGGTACCGAGCCTGCAGCAGAACCTGCGCCCAGTATGTGGTCGTTTAAACGGGAACAAACGAAAACCAACCTGCCAGATTTAGTCCAAGAAAAGCCTGGCCTCCGCAAGCACAAGGCTGTGCAGGCTCTGAGCCCAGAGCCGCCGGATCGCGGCGACAATTCAGGCCCCGCCCCGTCCCTCGTGACAGGCCTCTCCCCACGCCGGCCCCCACCTCTCCCCAGTCCCGAGCGCCGGCCAGAAGGCGCCGTTCCTCTGAGAAGCCTGTTCCTGGGGGTGTTGTGTTTCGAGGGCGGGCCCTGCCATGGGTCTTTGCCTGCACCCTGTAGCCCACGTTCTCGGGACTCAATGCTCCATGGGCGGTGTCCATGTAGGGACGCGCCCCTCTTCCTGGCTCAGGGAAGGGATGGGAGCAGGACATTTCGAGACTGGCCACTGGGCGGCGATGTTTCTCCACCTCAACATGGAGCTTTTCTCCTGGACGCACGGGGTGGTGAGAACTCAGGATACCAACCACCAGTTTTCTGGGGTTGGTGATTTCTGACCCTGATTCAGACAACGGCAGGAAGCAAGAGGGCAGAGGTGGGCTCGGAGGGTATACTCTGGCGATACTTCGAATTCGGAGAGGATTTGGGCGAAAGCTTGGTTTCTTGTGTGTGAGAATTTCTTATTCATTCTTGGGTTAGGGAGCTTCTGAGATTTAGATTGGGGGCTCCATCCTTACAGGATCACATTCTGCGTGTATGAATCTGATAAAATGACAGATGCCCTCTCCAGGAAAATGCACATACACTTGCAAAATCAAAATGCAAAAAAACAGGCAGTCTCAGCTGTGAGAGAAGCCATTCCTGATTCTGGCAGGCCCTAGAAGATGGTCCCCAAAACTCCTTGGCGCTCCGTTCTGGTGGGAACTTAGCCCAGAGTGAATCCCTATCCTGCACCGACCCCCAAAAAAGAATGAGACAACAAAGGGGGATCACTCATACTTGGGAAGCATGGTGGAGATTATCTCCATGTTTTACAAACGGGGAAACTGAGACTGAAGGAGAGATCTGATTGCCCAAGGTCATGCTTTAAATTAGAGGCTAGACAAGAACCCAGGTCTTCTGACTCCACAGGGCTGATTTTCAGTGAAAGGGAAATCATTTAGGTGTTAAGTCTGTAGAGCTGTTTCACATGACACAGACTTCCTGTGCCTCTCTGAGCCTCGGTTCCTCCATCTGGACACTGAGGCAGATGGCTCAGCTGATCCTCAAGGTCTAGCTGTGACCTCACAATCAGAGGTGACAGGGGCCTGGCATTCACTGCTCCTCCTCTCCTTACCTGCTCCACAGTAGGACAGATGGGGATCAGGGTGTCTAGGAGGCCCCAGACATTTTGTTATTAGAAAGTCAAATTCTCAACTCAGGTTTTAGGGGAGATACTTAGGGAAGAACCCACCTGTTCTCCTCCCTCCAGGTGGCAGCACCTCTTGAAAGGCGCCCAGAAAGGCTGGCACATGCAGAGGAGAGAAGTGGCTTGGGAACACCTCAGTTTTCCTAGAAGAAGGTCACATGATAGAGCCAGGGGTCTGGGGTCCATTCACCAAATGCTCCTGCCGGGGTCTTGTTGGAGCATGACTGCAGCATCACTCAGAAACCAGAAGGGGCAGCATGCATGTCCTCTACCCCAAAGGAAATAAAAGGGCCTCAACACAGCCCCAGGTGTCCTCATGGGGACTGGATGAGCACCATCAGTGTTCCAGGCCACTTGCTCACAGCAGAAAGTGTGTCTGCTGATGTGAGCCACGTTCCCAACAATGCTCACGGTCGGGAAGAGGTGATCCGATAGCTTGGATAGTGTGGCCTGTCTTCACTGCCCCATTTCCTGGTAGGGATGCTGGTGCAGGATAGAAACATATCTACTCCAGGAAATCTATCTAGACAGACAGATGCAGATATAGACGACATACATAATCTATCTAATACATGTGTATATACACTCATACAATGCATGATTCTGGAAGAAAATATTCCAAATCGTTAATAGTGGTGGGGGTGGGATATGTAATTTTACTTCCTCCTTTGTGCTTAATGGGGCTTCCTTGATAGCTCAGCTGGTGAAGAATCTGCCTGCAATGCAGGAGACACCAGTTCGATTCCTGGGTTGGGAAGATCCCCTGGAGAAGGGAAAGGCTACCCACTCCAGTATTCTAGCCTAGAGAATTCCATGGACTGTATAGTCCATGGGGTCGCAAAGAGTCGAACATGACTGAGCCACTTTCACTTGTGCTTAATGTCATTATAAATTTTTAACAAATGTATTGGTTAACTTTTTCATTCCTCTTTATTTCCTTGTTTGATAACTTGTCTGCCACTTGGAAGGACTCAGAGCTTACACTGGTGTGCCCTTTGCGGAAGGGGAAGCCCTCACTGGGCACATATGCTAGTCGGTTTGCCTTAAAAAAAAAAAAAAAAATTAAACCAAGGTCTTGGGAGGTGGCCCCGGGATGACCTGCCAGGAAAACTCAGGGGCACCGCAAAGTCCTGGGAACTGAGCTCTGGCAGTCGCCAGGTGCCCAGGCCCCTGACTCTCCCTCCAGGTACCACCTCGTGGTGATCGCCCTCATTTACTTCCTGCCTCTCGTGGTGATGTTCGTCGCCTACAGCGTCATCGGACTCACGCTTTGGAGACGCTCTGTCCCGGGGCACCAGGCTCATGGTGCCAACTTGCGCCACCTGCAGGCCAAGAAGAAGGTGAACTCCGGGGGCGGAGGGGGCGGGGTCAGGGCGGGGTCGGAAGTTTGGCCCCGCCTCGGCATCGGCCGTTCCGGGCCCACGCCCGAAAGGGCGCCGCGGAGGATGGACTCCGCGTGTACCTTGCATTTGTCCCAAGTCTCTGGCCAGAGCCTTCATTCCTGCTTCCCCAGGCCGGCCGACTTGCCTTTGGTCTTTGGGTTGTGACAAACACAGATTGCAGCGAGTGGGGATCTTGCGGACCCATAGCTGGCAGGGTCTCTCCTCAGGATGGGGTTAGGAGCGAGAGCTCATCCACTCTCCAGAGAGGGGAGCTGGTTTGCTCAAAGAAGGATCCAGGACGCCTTTTAGAGAAGGTGGCCTTGAACTGGGCTTTGAGGAGTGAGGACTAAGAAGGAAAGACAGCACTGGGAGCCTAGAGACCAGCCTGAGCAAAAGCCCTCAGGTAGAGGGCCCAGGAGTGCCTGGGTAGCAGGTGTTCTGGGGGTCTGAGGCTGTGGACGCAGAGGGGACCTGATTATTGAGGGCTTCTCAGGCTGGCATGAGGGGTGCCCCACCCCCATCCTCAGGAAGACTGGGACTTGGGGCGTCCGGGCTGAGGAGTGACCCAAGTGTCTCCTGGACCAGTTCGTGAAGACCATGGTGCTGGTGGTGGTGACGTTTGCCATCTGCTGGCTGCCCTACCACCTCTACTTCATCCTGGGCACCTTCCAGGAGGACATCTACTGCCACAAGTTCATCCAGCAGGTCTACCTGGCGCTCTTCTGGCTGGCCATGAGCTCCACCATGTACAATCCCATCATCTACTGCTGCCTCAACCACAGGTGAGCTCTCACTCCAGCCCCTCTCCTCAGCCTGGCTCCATCTGGACCCCCCTGCAGAGCTCCACCCACCCCATGGGATTGCCATCCTCACAGGGACCCCCCAGCATAATCTTCCCTCTTGTCTGGGCCTCGCTTGGGCCCCACCCCCTCCCCAAAGCTTTGCCCAATGCCCAGGCCACAGCTTTCACATTCGCCTGCTCCTGCTCGCTCTTCTGGGGGCTGCACCTGGGACAAGGAGAAGAGAGAAGGGGGGACAGAGAGATGGAGGGAGGGGCAGAGAGGCAAAAGGACAGCCAGAGAGGGAGGAAGGAAGGAGCCAGGTAAAGGAGGGAGGGACTTGGCTACTTCCCTAGTGGTCCAGTGGTTAAGACTTTGCCTACCAATGCAGGGGCTGTGGGTTTGATCCCTGGCTGGGGAGCTAAGATCACACATGCCTATCAGCCAAAGAAACCAAAATGTAAAAAAACAATATTGTAAGAAATTCAATAAAGACAGAAAAAAAAAAAATCCAAGGAGGGAGGTACTGATGTTTTTAAGAGATTTCTACATTGAGGACGCACTGAGGACTGTCAGTGGGCGAGAACAGTGCCAGCCGCAGCAGAATGAAGCACTCAACCTGAGGCCTGGGGCCGAGGCTGGAGGGGAAACGGGTTGCTCCCTGGAAGATCACAGGAGGGGCTTTCAGGGGTGCTAGGAAATGACCTTGGCAGAGACTGCCAGGGAAGAAGGAGCCCAATTCTCACTTCCCACCACTCTCGTACCTCTAGAGAAGTAGAGTCTCACTGAGGGAATGGCATTTGCTCTGGAGCACATGCACAGGTGGGAGATGCTGGGCCAGGCAGGAGCCTGGAACGGGGGGGCCAGGGAAGAGTCGGTGAGAGGTGAACACTGAGTCCTGGCCTTAACAAGGCAGTGATGTGAGTGACATTGACCCTGGGCCTTTTTTATCACCTCGCTGCACAGATATCCAGGTCATTCATAAGGCCAGTAGAGCCTTTGTTGCTCAGACATCCTACCCCCCTGGGGTAGGCCAGAAGGAAGTGAGAGACTGACTTTTATCTTTTGAATGTTTAATGGGCATCAGAACCCTCCATTGTCTCCTGACAGGCAAGTATACCCCATGGACTGTAGCCCACCAGGCTCCTCTGTCCATGGAATTCTCCAGGCAAGAATACTGGAGTGGGTTGCCATTCCCTTCTCCAGGGAGAAACCTGCCTCTCCTGCATTGCAGGCAGATTCTTCACCATCTGAGCCACCAGGGCTACCCGTGTAATCAGATGGGGGTGTTATCCCCATTTTACAGATAAAGAAACTGAGTCTCAGAAAGGAAGACTCTCCTAAACTCATACAACAAGAATTCCGTGTGTTTCCAAGGTCTGTAATCTCATCCCTACATCACACATTTTTCTCTCATGCAGTTGTAGAAGTGAGAACTTAGACAGGGACTGTCACATCATGCCCCCAGCCTTCTGTGTCTATGTACGGGTACCCAATGACACAGTATGTGGGAGTCTGAACACGCCACGGCTCTATGAGTTGCTGAAACAACCACTGATCGTTCAGTATTTGAAGACAGCAGCCCTGCAGTAGGACTGTTCCTCCTGGTGCAGTCTCCCCTTCTCCATAAAATAATCTCCAGTGGCTGTGTGTGCCAGCACTTTTCCAGGCCCTTTGGGATACCCTGGTGAACAAAAACAGTGATCCCTTTCCTCAGGGAGCTCACCTTCTAGGGGGAGCAGGTGGAGATAGACAATGAGCAAACCTAATGAGTCAATAAGTCACAGTGTGTATTAGGTGATAAATCCTATAGAAAAAAAGAAAAATGAGAACTGGGTAAGGGAAGACAGAAGGTAATGGGGGAAGTAATGGGCATAAAGGTTGCAGTTTTACAGGATGGTCAGGGTAGGCCTTCCTGAGGGGCCTTTTGAACAGACTTGAGGCCTGAGTGGGCCCTGGTAGCTGTCTAGATAAGAGTTCCAGGCAGAGGGAACATGGCAAGGGGAAGAATAGGGAGAAGATTAGGCAGTTGCAGTAATCCCACCAGGCAAGAGATGGTGGGCTTAGATGCATGAGAAGTGGTCAGAGTCTGGAGATTGCTAAGGTACAGTCAACAGAATTTGATGGAGAGGAAGTCAAGGATGACTCCAGGTTCTTGGGTGGTTAGTTATCAGGAGCTGAGATGAGGACGACTGTCAGGGGCACGGGAGGAAGAGCATAAGGAGCTCAGGTTGGGACATGGAGTGTAGGTATAAGGGACAGTGGCCATGAAGCTCCCATAATAAAAGCATTTATTGGGCTGCACCATGGAATCTCTAGAGCTACAGGGGGAAGAACCAACATCAGGTCCGTGCTTCTGAAACACAGAACCTTGCATCTCCTGGGAACAGACCACTCAGTTGTTTGCCTCTGTCTGCACCACACAGGGCCTCATCTATTTCTGTTCCTGACAGGACAGTGTCTACCTTCTGCCAGCTCCATCTCACTTCTCCCACTCACTTTCTCCTTCCTCTGATCTCTCATTTACATGGGGACCCTCGTGCTGCCATGCTCACTTATTTTTTAAGCAAATGTCCCCAAACTTAGTAGTTCAATGTACTTATTTCCTTTCAAAGCAGTCCCCTTGGAGAGCATCCTCATTCCAGCCAACATTGCCAAAGCCCCAATTTCTTAAGATTCCTCTTTGCATACTCCTTTAGAAGCCAATTAACAAATCAAACAAGAAAATCTGTTGTGTTATAATTGTACTTGGTTTGTTTTTGTTTGTTTGTAATAACAAATGGTCTTGTCCAGCTTAATCACCCACTTCAAACTTGGACTTGGCTCCAGATTACTTCTGGCTGCTTCCAAAACCCCAATCCTCTAAAGAACGTGTCTTTGAGCTTTTTTCTTTAATTCTTTATTTATTATTCTTTCTTTATTTTGGCTGCCCTGGGTCTTTTTTGCTACACGCCAGCTTTTCTCTAGATGCGGTGAACAGGGACTGCTATCTAGTTGCGGTGCGCAGGCGTCTCATTTCAGTGGCTTCTCTTGTGGAGCACAGGCTCTAGGGTGCTTGGGATTCAGTAGTTGTGGTTATGGGCTTAGCTGCACAGGCATGTGGGGTCTTAGTTCCCGGATCAGGGATCAAATCCTCCTCCCCTACATCGGCAGGAGGATTCTTAACCACTGGACCACCAGGGAAGTCCTCCAGAGACCCTGAGCTCTTAGGAGTGAATTTCCGAAGCAACTTTCCTCCGAAGGGGAGATCGGCTCCTGGAGGTGGGGCAGCCACAGGGCAGTTCCCATACTGTTTCCCTCACTCCATTTCTCAAGATGATCCTCCACTCTTCAGGTTTCGCTCTGGATTCCGGCTTGCTTTCCGTTGCTGTCCATGGGTCACGCCAACCGAGGAGGACAAGATGGAGCTGACCCACACTCCATCCCTCTCCACGAGGGTCAACAGGTGTCACACTAAAGAGATTTTTTTCATGTCTGGGGATGTGGCCCCCTGTGAGGCTGTCAACGGGCAGGCTGAAAGCCCCCAGGCTGGAGTGTCTACTGAGCCCTAAAGCCTAGTGCCTGGCTGCAGGGGGAGGCTTGGCACCTTTGAGAAATAGCCAGTCAAAAGGACCACATCTGAAAGTTTGGCCAATGCTTCACCCTTGAGTATATCAATGGAAAGACGAGATGGGGCCAGGAACTCTGCAGTGGGTACTACCTTTCCCAGCTAGCCCTTCAAACAGTGCTTCAGGGATCCAATAATTCAAAGAAGACAGGGTGAACTAACACTTGTCTAATCCAGGAGTTGCAAGGTCAGATGCCTTCCTGGGGCATACAACATAATGAGTAAATTGAACCCAGTATAAAAGAAAAGTTTTAGATATATTGATAAAAGATAACTGACTTCCAGTGTTGGGGCAATAGGGAATGGTGGGGACTGTGGCAAACTGAAGGGCATAGGAATCCAAAGGGGACAGTAGCTGATCAGTTCTTGGCAAATGCTGCCATGTGACTGATCTTCTACATCTTTCAAGAAAAGCCAGAAATCCAAGTTTGTGAAACTTCCAGAATTGTTAAAGTTGGCTCACATTTTTATAAATGTTGTGCGAACCAAACAAAACACACCTGTGGGCAGTACTCAACCATGACAGTGATTTATTGTCAGGATAAAGACACAAGGAAAGAAGCTTCTGAATTTTGCAAAGCCCCTAACCTGTGAGCCAGTCCAGGGCTTCTCTGCTTTAGCATCTAAGAACCCAGATCCACCCCAGGGGAGGTGATGGTTAAGGGGTCAAAAGGAGGCTCAGCTGGGTGGTCTCAAGACAAAGACCTTCACATTGCCTTCTTCTTTCAGTTGCAAAACTACTTTGCAGGAAGGCTGTGAGGATGATGGGAGAGATGCCCATAAATCAGCAAGTCCAATACATGTTAAGTGCTTCATAAACAGCGTGTGTGCTCAGTCACTATGTCATGTCCAACTCTTTGTGACCCCATGAACTGTAGCCCACCAGGCTCCTGTCCGTGGGATTCTCCAGGCAAGAATACAGGAGTGGGCTGCCATGTCTTCCTCCAGGGGATCTTCCCAACCCAGGGATCAAACCTGTGTCTCCTGCATTGACAGGCAGATTCTTTACCACTGAGTCACCTGAGAAGCCCTCATAAACAGCAGCCGTGACTTTCATTACTACCATGGCAGCCGTCTGACATGAATGCCTCTGCAAGTCAGCAACACAGCCATCACCCTTACTTCTGCTCGAGAGGCTGGCAGGCAGAGAACACCAACTGTCCCATCCCCTAGAAAGCTCCAGGCCCAGCCGGGTCCACACCTCACCCTGCCTGCTGACTCACCTTCCCTGCCTTGGGCCCTTCCAGAAGAACCACATAATGCTGTAAACGCACACCTAGAGTTTAATGTTACCTGTGTTCTCCACAAAATCACTGTGCCGTAGGCGCTGGCAGTGCCAATAAAGGGACCCTGGTCTCACCAACCAAGTGAACATGCAGTCAGTCCTGGGGAAAACCATGCAGAGGGGTGACCATGGCCAGGGATGCTCACGTGGCACTGCAGTCACAGGTACCAGAATGTGGACGGATGTGGGGTCCACTGACCAGCTTGGGGGGAGGAATCCAAAATGGCAGCCACAGAGTGTAACAGCACCCTCAAGGCTGAGGTGGGGCAGGGATGGAAGGGTTGGACAAGGGCCAGTTTCCCATAGAAGGGGTTAGCTTTCAATGGCCGGGGTGGGGGGGGGGGGCGGAGAGCACCACAACCCTGCTCCCCAGGGCTGCTGCAAGACTTCATCTACTCAGGGCAGGGGGTCTCTTCATCTGTTGGCCTGGAGTTGGCGGACAGGATGATGAAGGCAGGACTTGCTCGGGACCAGCGGGAGCGGCGGGGGCCAGTGTTGCCCCGTCCTCTCGGGAAACCCAAACAGCCCCTGCAAGCCAAGCTTCTACTTTGTTCCAGCTAGGTGAGGAAGGCAGGCTGTTGGAAGACAGAGGCTTTACCTTCTGAAAGGGGTCAAGGCAGGGGTGCAGGAATCCCTCCCCAAGGCAGGCCCCTGGGGCTGCAGCAAGGAGCCTGGAGGGCAGGTGCTAGAAGACATGGGGAGAGCACAGAAGTCCTTGAGCCAAAAGAAGGCTGTGGGCTAAAGAACACAGCCTTCCTTTCAAACTTCTGACCCAGAAGGCCACAAAACCCCCCAGGGTTTCGTTTTTGCCACATCCCCCAACATCCTCCCTGCTCCCCAGTCATCAAGCGTCACTCGGGTCTTTGAATTGGTACAAAGTTTACTAGGTCATACAACATGGCTCACAAAAGCGATGGGTAATTCCAATGAGCGTACTGTTTCTTGATTGGTTCCTTTCACCTGAATGGAGACAAGACACTTTCCCGCAGGACTGCCCACCTCCCCTCCCCAAGACAGACAGAAAGCAAGACTGTCACAATGTGGCTGTGACCAGTTCCACGGACACACACTTCGGTGGCATTGCCATGCCCAGATGGGACACCAGACAGCAGCGGGTGCGGGGCCGGGAGGAAGTGGCGGCCGCTGCACCCAGGGGAGGAGAAGTCCCGGCAGTGTCTGCTGGTGATAATACATTGCACATGGGGGATGGGTCCCCAGGGACGGGCAGCGGAGGCCCTTAAGGCCTGTCAGATGGTGTGACTTTTCATCTTGGGCCAATAAATAACTGCTGGACGAATGCATAAATTAGAAATGGACGCCACTAAACTTCACACGTGGGGAACATACGACGGGTTGAAATCAAATCATGCAGAGCGGCAGGGCAGGTGAGGAGGGACCTGGAGGGCAGGGAGATTATCAACAGCACACTCTATTTTGTACCCTACGTTACGCGCCGTTAGTGGGCTTCTGGTTTCCTCCCTGCGGCGGTGCAGGCGGGCTCTGGCGCCGGCGTCTCCCAGCACAGCTCGCTGGGCAAAATAAGGGGTCGCTGCTTGAAGAGAGAAGTGCTGGAAGGGCAGCAGGCTGGGGGTCAGGACTCTTAGCTGCTCATTTCTTGCCGGAGCCGAACGCCCACCGCTGTGATGAGGGCGGCTCCCTTGCCGCTGCCGTCTTCAGATAAGAGGAAGGACACATTACACTTCGGTGACAGTTCCTTCACGGTTTGGTGCATGATTCTGGAGAAGCTGAAAAGGACAAAAAATAGAGATGGGTTGGGAGAGGAATAGGAGAGATGCCGGACCCAGCTGAAGATGCTAAAGCAGCCAAAGGGAAGGAGGGAGGTGAGAGGGGTGGGACTGCTCTGAAGCAGCAGAGACTTACTGAGAATGGCTAGGAGGAAAGCGGGTTTACGGCCAATCTGATTACAATTTGCAGCAGGGAGACAAGAAGGAGAATCCAAAATGAGCTCCTCTGGACAGCTCTGAGGGCAATGGCATGAGTAACACACCCAGACAGCTCCCATCCTCAGAGCCTGAGGATCCTAGAGGACCGAAATCCAAGAAGGGGGTGCCAAGACCTGGGCGTGGACTGCTGAGGCGGGCCAGGCCGGGTCAGCTGTTCAGCTCAGCAGGCTTCATGGAAACAAACATCACCCATCCCTAGCTTGCAGCCCTCTGAGACCCCAGCCCATCAGCACCTGAAGCTGACAGGGAGCCTTCCTTTCTGTCTCCAAGTGAAGCATAATCTCTAAATGAGAGGCGACTCTGGGTTCTTGTATTTTGTGCTGCAAATGAGATAGGGCCAAGTGAGAATGCTCAAGGCAGCAGGGCTCCTAGAGGTAATACTGCTTGCCCTCTGCTGAGTATCTGCTAGGTGTCCCACACTTTATATACGTAATGTCCAGTCTGCCAATGGTTATTATCCCACAAAGAAGAGGAGACTTGACAGAGATGAATCAGCTGAGCACAGCTTATAAAGGGTACTGTCAGGATTAAACCCAAGCCTGTCCATGTTGGGCTCCAAAGACTAGCTCTAAATAAACACAGTGACAACAAGGACAGCGACGAAGGTGAAGAAACAGGTGGGGATGGAGCCAACAGCCTGTTCCATCCCAAGCCACGGCCGTGAGGTAAACAGGCAATGTCCATGCTGTGTTGGGTAGGCCTGCTTTCAAGTAGAGTAACATTATAGCTGGTTTACTTGGGAACAGTCCCAGTGTAATTATTAGTAGCCCTCTCTCGACTGGCCAAAGTACCTCTGTTCTGACAATAATAAGGTCACTCCATTCGTAAGAGCCCAGCTTTGAGACATGCGGCCGGTCAGAGAGCAGAAGGGCCTACCCCTTCTCCTGCAGCATGGGATGTGGCACTCCAGGCCAAAAAGAGGTTGATCCCACCCACCTCCATGGTCCAAAGCCCAGGGCCACGATTGCTCCTGCCTTCCAAGGCTCTTGACAGAATCTGATGTAGCAGGTTAACAAGACAGTGGGTCCTCTCCCTTTCCTTCACTCCCTCTCCCCACTTCTAAAAAATAGCTTCTCCACCAGGCTGATGGGTAAGCCCGCGCCCACCCTTACCTGCTTTCCAGCTCCCCGCTCAGGATACAAGGGGCCCGGGAGGAGCAGCAAGCAGGAAATGTCAGGACCACAGGGTGAGCTGGCCAAGTTAAGCCACTTCTCTCTGAGTCCCTTCCTCGTGCCAAACAAGCCCCGCCCTGACCGCACAGCCTGCAGGCCGGCTGTGTTCCTGGTGAGGAATTTTACTGGGCGGTGGGAAATCACATCCCAGTGTCCCAGCAGCAAAAGGGGCCTCGCCCACCCCAGTGGAAGCCTCACTCACTGCGGATGAAGCTTGTAGAGCGTCCCGTCCACGCCCACAGTCACGTTGAGGCGGTCCAGCCCCCTGTTTTCGCGGATCTTATCCACCACGGCGGCCATGCCCGCGCCGCACAGCTGCGCCGCCCTCTTGGACACCACCCCGCACACGGTCTTCACGAGGATACTGTCGTCGCACGTGCTATTCAGGCCCAGCTGCTGGAGGATGGCCCGGACCTGCAGCAGCGCTAATCGGTCGCTGTGGGGGACGAAAGTCAGGAGGCCAGATGAAAGGGAACCCGCCGGAGAGCAGCAGGGGCCAGGGCCTGAGCTTATCCACGAAAGGGGTCATGGGGTTTTCTCTTCCCTTCAAAATAATTTTTTTTTAAATGACCCGCAAAGTATTACAAGTTGTAGAAAAACTGGCAACTCTAGAAAAGTTAACATTGGAAAATTAAAACTTATCTACAACCCCAACACCGGGGAAAACACTATTAAGGTTTAAATGTATTTCCTTCCAATCTATTTTTCTTGAATATCATTAAACTGCATTTGTTCTGATATATAAATAGGCTTGTCATTTATTTATGTTTAAATTTTTATTTTATACTGGAGTATAGTTGATTAATGGGCTTCCTTTGTGGCTCAGCTGGTAAAGAATCCACCAGCAATGCAGGAAACCTGGGTTCAATCCCTGGATTGGGAAGATCCCCTGGAGAAGGGAAAGGCTACCCACTCCAGCGTTCTGGCCTGGAGAATTCCATGGACTGGATAGTCCATGGGGTCACAAAGGGTCAGACATGACTGAGCAACTTTCACTTTCACATAGTTGATTAATAATGTTGTGGGCTTGCCCTTTATATATGGTTTTCTTTCTTGCCCTTTTCTTCATGTATCTGAGAGAGTTCCTACCTCCTTATCCAAGACCAGGACTGAAAAAGGCTGCCATAGTATTCCATTCTGGAAATGACCATAATTTATTTAGAGAAATTTAACTTGAAATTTTTTGCTACTATAAAGTAACACTCCAGTGACATTCCTGTTTATAAGTCTTTGTGTGCAACTCAGATTTTTCCTTTAGGATACATTTCTGGGTCAAAGGGCTTTTGACCCAGAAGCCAAGTGCCTTTCTGAAAGTTGACACTTGGTCTCCTGGGATATTTGTCTCCTCATGAAACTGAAAGAGTTGACAATGAAACAAGGATGATGACAACAACAGTGACAAGAGCAGTGAGCCTTTTTTGAGGACTCGCTATGTGACAGGTGTTTATATATATCACTTCACGCCTCTTCCTAACAGCCAACTGATCCACATTTGATTGTTTCCATTTTATAGATGTGGCAATTGAGGCTGGAAGAGATTGAGTAACTCACCCAGAGCTCACAGCCAGTGACGTAAAGCAGGTCTCAGGACCAAACTACCAAAGCTCTCACCCGCCATGCCATGCTCTGTATCTTGTCATATAGAATGCAAATGTTTTCTTTGGTTTGCTGTTTTGTCTTTTAAGCTTGATGACTGATATTGTTTTTAACTTATAGAAACTATGCAGCTAAAATTTGCAATTTTCTCTTTGTTATTTCTCCCTTTGATATGACACTTGAAAAGACCTTCCCCAGCACTTCACACCCATCAGGATGGCTATTATTAAAAGAAAAATAAAAACAGAAAATAAATAGTGTTGGTGAGGATATAAAGTTGGAGCCCTTGTATGTACTGTTGGTGGGATGTACAATGGTACAGCCACTGTGGAAGAGTATAGCAGTTCCTCCAAATAAATAAATAAAATAATTATGTGATCCAACAATTCCACTTCTGAGTATACACCCAAAAGAATCACAAGCTGGGACGTGATCGTGTATTTGCACACTCATGTTCATAGCAGCATTATGCACAACAGCCAAAAAGTGTAAGCAACCCAAGTGTCCATGAATGGATGAATGGATAAGCAAAATGTGGTGTATACAATACAAGGAATTATTCATATTCAGCCTTAAAAAAGGAAATTCTGATACATGCTACAACATGGATGAACCTTAAAGATACTATGCTAAGTGCAGTAAGCCAGATGTGAAAGGACAGATGCTGTATGATTCCACTTACATGAAGTCACTAGAGAAGCCACAGTCATAGACACAGAAGGTAGAACAGTGGTTGCCAGGGGCTGGGGGGAGGGGGATATGGATAGTTAGTATTTAATGGGTACGGAATTTCAGTTTGGGAAGACGAAAAAGTTCTGGAGATGGATGGTGCTGATGGTCGAACAACAAATTGAATGTATTTAATGCCACTGAACTGTCCACTTCCAAAATGGTCACAATGATAAAGCTAACGTTATGTAGATTATCTACCACAATAAAAAGGGCTTCCCTTGTGTCTCAGCTGGTAAAGAATCTGCCTGCAATGCAGGAGACCTGGGTTTGATCCCTGGGTTGGGAAGATCCCCTGGAGAAGGGAACGGCTACCCACTCCAGTATTCTGGCCTGGAGAATGCCATGGACGGATAGAAGTCATAAAGAAGTCCATGGGGTCGCAAAGAGTCAGACTCGACTGAGCGACTTTCACTTCACCATGATAAGAAAGTATTAACAAGAAATATTCACTGATATTTTCTTCTCCTTATCTAGCTGCTATTTTCCACACTTGGCTCATGGGTGAACTGCGAATGAAGAGAGAAGGAAGTGGGAAACTTGGTTCCCTATCAAGGCCCCTCCCTCCCCTGAGGCTGTGAAATGCCACCACTCTGGGTGCTCAAGACCGCCAAGGCCAGAGCCTCGGGGTTGCTGTCTACAGAAGTGAGCACTTTACTGCATGGGTTCTGGTGGACAGTGGGTTTCACCTGCAGGTTACAGACCCAGGCTTGGGGGAAAGTGAGGAGCGGGCCCTGGCCCAATGCCACTATCATGACCATCCTAAAAGGTAGGAGGCTTCTGCACAAGTGCTTTTGCTGAGCACTTTCCTACTTTTTTCCACAGTACACTGTGCAAGATGGCAATGGTAGAGATGAAACGTTCACTCCATGTGAGAAAAACAGGAGGAAGACAGAAGCAGCTTGCTGGGACACTGTGGGTGGTGAGCCCTGCATCCCAGCTGCCTTTCAGAGGAGAAGAGGGTGAGGTCAGACCAGTGGCGCTTGGCTCTTTTGGACTCGATGCTCCTTCAACTCAAATATCTGTGATGCACCTTTCCTATCCTGAAATGTAACCTACTTACACACAGGATGATTTCAAACAAATCAATATAATGCCCTAACATACAGAATTAATAAAAGGGAGTGATTTACAGTAAAATTATGGAAACTCAACATGCAACTGCTCAGGGTATACTACTCCAGAGAAGAAGAAAACCCTCACAAACGGCCAAAATGTCCCCTAGATTGCCTACCACCCCCATCACAACCCCCTGGCCAGGTCCACCTGTGACTTGAAGGCCCTGCCCACTCACCTTTCAATCTGAGAGAGATACTTGGTCTGAAACAGGCCCCGGGTCTTCAGCGGCTCAGAGATCTGCCCCCGGAAGAGGAAGCCCCTCTTGGCGAAGTCGATCAGGATGTTGCGGACAATCTCACCCAGGTACATACCGCTGATCATCTTCTCATACCTGGAACGAGAGGAGGGAGGCTGGGGGATCTCTAGGAGGCCTCTGGTCTCGCAGTAACCACGGGCGCCTTCCTGTGCCTCACGGGCATCACCACCCCGCGCACCCAGCCCTGTGCTCCCTGGCAGAGGCAAAGTGTAAGACCCGGCTGAGGAATCCCCAACCCTCCCAGGGTCAGACGTGATATCTACCACCAGCGCTGTTTCATGGCTGGATCATCCTCTTCCTCACCCGACTCCCTGCCTCTGCCTGGTGAAGTCCCACTCAAGCTCCTAGCTCTCAGTTCAACCATCACTGCTCCAAGGGATCTGCCCTCCCCACAGTTCACCTGCCTGTCTCAGCTTCCAGGCACCCTCCCTTCTTCCCAACACACACGGGCCCTCCGCCTCGGGCCCTCCGCCTCTCGGCATCCCCGCAGTGAAAGCCTCGAGGGGACAGAGCATGATTATCTTGCTCAGGTTTGTGTCCTAGGGCCTAGCACAACACACTGCTGCTTTCAGTCAAGCGCTCAATACCTAACTGTAGAACTAGCAAACAGCTTGCTGTAGAAACAGCAAACACGGGGAATGTTTCCACTAGATTTTTGGAAGGTTTTGCCGCAACCCAGGGTGCTGGTCAAGCACCCACAGAGTGACAGAGCCACCCAGGCTGGGGGCCCCAGGCGGCCACCACACCCCTGGGGGCCACCTCTTCTTGGGGCTTTTAATTCCTGCCCTCTCCATGTCCAAGGGCCTCAAGAAATGACAAGGGGCTTAACTGCTTCCATGCACACACGCCATTTCAGGGTCCCTAATCTGGGGAGACTCCCCTGGAATCTGGATACTCCAGAAGCTCTGGGGTGCTCCACAGGAAAAAAAAAAAACCTAAGAAACAGCACACCTATCATCAATTCTCACCTAGTCTTTCTCAGTCCATCAAAGAGACATCTCCTTGGTGTGGAACAGTTTGGTGCTGATATGGCTCTAGCCCCTTCCAACCGCTACAGATCTCCCTTTTAACAAAGAGGGTCTTCCTGTAGAGCATTTGGTGGGCACGGTAGGTAGGACTGAAATAACGCTCTTCTTCACTATATCCATCTTATGGTAATACTGGCTTTTTCCTCTCTCATTAAACTCAAGAATACAAGCTGATTTAAAGAAAAACATGTAGCATAGGTAGTATTTGGAAAAGACATAAATCTTGAGGTTAGCCGGTCTGCCACTTATGTTTGAGAGGTACTATCCCAGCTCTTCATTCTGCTCCTGGGGACGTGACTTAGACCACCCCATCTTGGCTTTGGCAGAGGATGGCCTGATCCCTGGAAGCCTGAGACAAGAGATCATTTGTCTCTTTGCTGGGAAGGGGGAACACTGCCATCTTGGGGAGGGTCCCTGAAACCCAAGCTGCAAAGCTCCAACTAGCCACTAGGTGTTGCAAGAGGTCTGTTGTGGGAAGGCTAAACGGCGGCAGGCCTAAGCCTCACCCCTGACCTGGAGCCCCCCAACTCCCATCCTCACCCCCACTGGCAACATCCTAACTTCCCTTGCCCATTAACAACTGCAAGTCAAGTGTGTTCTGCTTCCACTAAACAAGGGAACAGCCTGCTGACCAAGAGGATTCTATTAGTCTATGGGGAGGAAACATAGAGCAACAGCAAGACCAGAATATTCCAGAATTAACATGGTCACTGAGAGGATGGTGTGACCACTGCCACCCTGTACCCAGAGGAGGCACCTGGACAGAACATCAACCTGGGCCATCTTATACCAAGTGCTGCTGCCACCCCTAAGTTCTCTGTTCTCTTTGGGCCAAAAGAAAAGGTCAGGAGTTAACCTGAGGGACCACAGTCTCCAGGTTCTGTGCAAAGCCCCCTCCCACTAGAAACTTCTTCCACTGTAACAGGTAGGGGACTTCCCTGACAGTCCAGTGGTTAGGACTCCACGCTTTTACTGCAGGGGGCCCAGGTTCAATCCCTAGTCAGAGAACTAAGATCCCACAGGCTACATGACTCGGCCAAAAAATAAACACAGGTAGAAACAGCCACGTGCCCTGACCACACCCCCACCCCCTGCCACCATCCTGTCTTCTCTACCAGGTGGAATTACCTTTGCTTCCCAGAGTTTAGAGAAAACTCATCCACCAGTTTGTCATAGATTGTTCTGATATCATCCAGACACCCGTTGTCCCCAAAGGCACCCCACTCCATGTTGATACACATTTGTCCCTGGCTTCCTTCTAGCGTCTCGACGTTTTTCATTTCCTCCATGTAGCAGGCATTGCTTCCAGTCCCTGAAATACATAAAGTGGGGAATGAATGGCCATGTCACCATGCTTAGTGGGGAGGAGGATTGCAACTAGGCCTAGGGCTCCACCGAGGCACGCTTCTGAGATGAACATTTACTTTCCCTATGTCATCCAGGAAAATCTCAAAATATAATGGGAAAGTTAGGGTGAAAACTGCCCAGAGCATTTGATTAACTCACTTTATACCAAGGCACCAATACTAACAGCCTCATATGTTCACCTGTCCAAGCAGGGCTGCTGCTGCTGCTAAGTGGCTTCAGTCGTGTACAACTCTGTGCGACCAACCCCGTAGACGGCACCCCACCAGGCTCTCCTGTCCCTGGGATTCTCCAGGCAAGAATACTGGAATGGGTTGCCTTTTCCTTCTTCAATGCATGAAAGTGAAAAGTGAAAGTGAAGTCGCTCAGTCGTGTCTGACTCTTAGCGACCCCATGGACCATAGCCTACCAGGATCCTCCGTCCATGGGATTTTCCAGGCAAGAGTACTGGAGTGGAGTGCCATTTCCTTCTCCACCAAGCAGGGCTATGCTTACTTTAATACAAAATGGTGTTAGAGCAAAGGGATGCATCTTAAAAGTGGTGGAGGTTTATGCAGCATTCAGATTGAAAGGGTATTTCTCCTTTTCTCTTCCCCTACCCCCCCCAACACACTGGCCACAGATACAAACACACACACACACACACACACACACACACACTCTATATATATATAAGAAATTGGGCTTCCCAGGGGGTAAAGAACCTGCCTGCCAGAGCAGGAGATCAGTCAGAAAGATCCCCTGGAGGAGGGCATGGCAATTCACTCCAATATTCTTGCCCGGAGAATCCCTTGGGCAGAGAAGCCTGGCAGGCAATAGTCCATGGGGTCGCAAAGAGTAGGACACAACTGAAGCGACTTAGCACGCATGCATATATAAAATACTATTAATACATGGAGGGGTTGTCTACTATCTAGCCACATATATCCATATATCTTTTCTCATCAAACTTGGTCATGGACTCTGCCTGGATAAACTCTCCTGTGTGTTCTACAATGAGGCCTGTGGTTAGTTCACAGAAGGACAGTGTCCTGAGCATGTCCAGGTGTATTTCTAAAGCAATGGTTCCTCACCATTTTGTTATCACAGATCTCTTTGAAATTCTGATGATTCTCCTGAGAAAGGAACTTCCCTGGTGGTCCAGGGAGGCTAAGATTCTGTGCTCCCAATGCAAGGGGCTGGGGTTCGATCCCTGGCCCGGGAACTGGTAGTACTAGTGGTAAAGAACCCTCCTGTCAATGCAGGAGACATAAAAGATATGGGTTTGATCTCTGGGTCTGGAAGATATCTTGGAGGAGGAAATGGAAACCCATCCCAGTATTCTTGCCTGGAGAATCCCATGGACAGAGGAACCTGACAAAGAATCGGACACAACTGAATAACTTAGCACACACACACTCCTGAGGAAAGGGACATTTCCCCAGGTGTAACCACACACTGTATACACACAGTCTGACAAATGGATTCCAGGGAGTCAGGAGCCTCTGATTTCCATCCCTGATCACCCAGGGCAGGGCTACTCAGAGTGTGGCCCCTTAAAGACTAGGGTTGGAACCCAAACTGTTTGGTCTTCTCATCCAGGAGGATTTAGGTACAGATGCTGGGAGGAAGTGTTCTAAAACTTTCATAACAGTTTTAATTGCCAGATATCAAACTTGTGGTTGTTGGCTTTGTCTCAGTGAATGGACGGGAAATTTAAAAACCAACCAACCATTCAAGGAGTCTCTCACACAGATATTTTTCTATATACCTTAATCTCCTGAGGAGTTGTTAAGATGGATTTCCTGATTCAGCAGGTGAAGGGTGAGTCCCAAGACCCTGCATTTCTAATACGCTCTCAGATGATGCTGATGTTGCTGGTCCATGGACCACACATAAGAGTCACAGGTCCTAGAGCACCATGGACCCACCCTGGGTGGGATGCAGAGGTAGATGGATTTTCAACATCATTAAGAGACACAAAGACACCCCTACCAAGTAGACACGTGGGCTCAGGTTGTTTTATGCCCTTTAAAGAAACTTAAGTAGAATTTGCAGATGCTTCTGACTGTGTAACTATAAGCAGGTAGGGTAGGCGTCCCCAGAAAAAGACAAAACAGGCATGACTTTCTTGACATTAGTGAAGCCATTTTGGCCTAATGAATTTTGTGATCTAAGTTTTGCCACAATTCTTGCTCTTCAACAGGTCTCAGTAATAATGATCTTAAGGGACAAAAGAACAAATTATTATCAGGCAAGAGAAGGAACAATAGCAAAAATAATAAATCAGTTGTAAAGATTCCTAGTTCTGTTTCATGTTAAAGATTAGCCTGAAGCACTTTCCTGAGCTGTTTTGCAGACTTTAAACCCCCCTCAGGCACTTAACTGCCAGATCGTCATGTATATGTGAGAGTTGGATCATAAAGAAAGCTGAGCGCCAAAGAATTAATGCTTTTGAACTGTGCTGTTGGAGAAGACTTTTGAGAGTCCCTGGGACTGCAAGGAGATCAAACCAGTCAATCCTAAAAGAAATCAGTCCTGAGTATTCATTGGAGGGACTGATGCTGAAGCTGAAGCTCCAATACTTTGGCCACCTGATGAAAAGAACTGACTCAGTAGAAAAGATCCTGATGCTGGGAAAGACTGAAGGCAGGAGGAGAAGGGGACAACAAAGGTTGAGATGGCTGGATGGCATCCCCAACTTGATAGATATGAGTTTGAGAAATCTACGAGAGAGAGATAGTGAAGGACAGGGAAGCCTGGTGTGCTGCAGTCCAAGGGGTCGCAAAGAGTTGGACACGACTGAGCAACTGAACTGACTGAGGGATGATGATGTTGATCTTTCTGACCCTCAGGACTTAAATCAAATGAAGCCTGGACTCTGTCAACCTTTGCCCCAACTCTATACTGAATTCTCCTCTGCCCAAGCCCAAGGTATTTCATGAATATGCAAATACCCTTAGCTTAAAACTTCCCCAATTTTTCTGTCGTAGGAGACACTGCTTTGGGAAAGATCCCCAGTGTTCTCCTTCTGATCTTTGGTTTGGTTGTGTCTTTTGGCTTGATGCCCACCAAGAAGCCAACCCAGTTTTGGATTAACATCACTGGATTACTTTTGCTTTCTCAGTTCCCTTTTACCCAGAGGGTAAAATTGAGAGAAGAGGCCCTGAAATGGAAGGGGTACAAAGAAAACCAAAATATGCAAACCATACTTCTTGCTGGGGGAGTTCTGCTCAGAGATCAATTGATGGCAAAAGAGTGACCTTGAAGGCAGCAGAACCCCTTCTACACCTCCCCAACACCCCTGCCCCTACATCGGTGGGTCTGACTCAGTCAGGCCGGAAGCAGAGAAAGTGCTGAGTCACTCTAGCTTTGCATTTCACACCTAAGGCCATTCATAAGCAGACAGGGGAAGGGACCAGGAGGAGAAAGCAAGCTTTGCAAAAGAAAGAAAGAAACAAAGCACCCCAAAGTCAGGCCTCAACCAACCTTCCCGTGGAGCTGCTCCTCAGTCTTTTAAATCTCCACTGAAGCCAAAAGGGGATTAATAAAAGACAAGGTCTTCCTGGCACCAGGAAGGCAGCCTGCTTGGGCCTTCTCTCAATCGCCCAGGTCTACGCAGCAGGGTGCCAACCCTCTCTGCCCAGGGAGGGTCTGTAGGTGTTGACTAAGAAACTGGGCCTTTTCTCAGCATTCCTGAGACTAGGAGCAGGATCAGCTGGACAAATGGTTTTCTTGCAACCTAAATCAAATGCTTCTGGAATTCTGTGCTCTCAAGGCCCAGACCCCTATTTGGATTATAAAGAAACAACCTGAAAAGCTAAACGATAATCCTTCTGCCTATAACCAAGCAGGAACCCATGGGGCCTTCCCTGGACATACCCTTCCCCCACACTGTCTGCTTTAGTGCCTCTCTGAAGTGCCTAGATAATATGTCTGAAGGACGTTTCCTGAGTTATTTTACAAATGCTAAAACCCCTACCAAATGGAAGATACTAGCTACTTGCTGACCTTGGGCACACAGCCCACAGGCCTGCTGGAGCCTAAGGATTGATAATGTTAAGCCCTGTGACACAACCCTGCTGCCTCACCATCAACCAGTCAGAGAATTGTGCACGAGCTGATCACATTCTGGGACTCTCCCCCTCACCTGGCCTTCTTTGGGACCCCATGAACTGTAGCCCACCAGGCTCCTCTGTCCATGGGATTCTCCAGGCAAGAATCCTGGAGTGGGTTGCCATGCCCGCCTTCAGAGGATCTTCCCAACCCAGGGATCAAACCCCCTTTAAAATGGCGCTGCTGAAACCAACTGGGAAGTCCAGGCTTTTTGAGCATTGACTGTCCTGGATTCCTTGTATGGCACCTTACAGTAAATGCTGTACTTTTATCCTATGCTAATAAACCACCTCTTTTTCTACTAAAAAAAAAAGTGGTTTTTCCTTCACCATATCCCAGTGTCAGTAGATTGGCTTTACTGGGTGGGCGGACCCAGGTTTTGGCTCAGTAATGTGCTTCCCTCTTCAGCAGCTGGCGGGCCACTGCTGCTAAAGGCCAAATGGCATCCAGACTGCCCTCTGGCCCTTCTCTACAGTCAGGAAAAGAGCAGACTCTGCTTCCTTCCCAGCCACAGACCTGGCCCTGCAACACCTGCCCAAGTCCCTCCATACAAGCCCTCTGAGTTGCCCTGCTGACCAGGCCGGCTCCAGGCACTCCCACCCTGTCCACTGGGGCCATCAGAGCCACCAGGAGCCTCAGTCCCGGAGAGTTCAGTTTCTGACAATCTGCTCGTGGTCAGTTCACAACCTTGTGGGGTGGGTGTTAGGAGGGGAAAGCTCTGGAGAGCCCTGCAGCCTCAGTCCACAAAGCAACTCCGGAGGTGTAAGGGGACAGTGCTGACAGATGTACAATGTCACCCACCGAGCATGAGATGTTGACTCAGGGCCCCACAAAACAGGAAAACCCAGCCTTCCCTGCCGCGGAAAAAGACCTTCCAGGACACCCACCTACGATGAGTCCAACCTCGCAGGTGGGCTCCTCGTAAGCACAGGTCATCATGGTGCCCACCGTGTCATTGACCACAGCCACCACGTCCAGGTCAAATTCCTTTGGAAAGAAAAGAAAAGTTTAGCTTTAGGGGAAGGACATGCACTGCCCAGCTTGAGGTCTGCAGGTTCACTCTGCTGCATGCCAGTCAGAAAGCCACTGGTGCGTCATCTGAAACTGTTTCCTTACCAGCCTGTGAAAGGTAATGAGATGCTCCTTCGCTAAACATCTGCTATGAAAGGTGCATCTGAAGCTTGAACTCTGAAGAAAGGATGCATTCTACCCATTTCATAGATGGCATTGAGTACTAGAGCAGCCCAGAGGGCAAGGTGGAATGGAGAAAAGCCAAGGGGTAATGGCCACACAGCTCTTTGTCTTGGCAGGTAAAAATGATAGCTTTCAGAGGGCGTGATGGAAATACCAAATCCATGTCTCAGAATCTGTCCAGACAAGCAAGTACACAAAGGCATATACAAGCATATTTTCTCCATGACTCAGGAGAGCCAGGAAAAACAACTGGAATGTAGATCAAAGGGGGCTATGGAAGACCCTATTCAGGAAAACCCTGGAATCCTGTGCAGCCAAGAAAGTGAGTGAGGTTGGCCTCTATGTAGTAACATGAAAGACTCCTGGTTTCATATTAAATGGAAAAAAAAACCAAACAGCTGTAATATCGTATATATGGAATGACTCCCATTTTTAAAATATGTATATATTTGTATACACATGGAAAGTACATTGGAAGAACACTAAGATTTTGTGAAATGGGCAAAATGAGTCATCAGATTTCTTTTCAATGAAACATTAACTGTTGTCTAGCATATGCTTCTAGGAACAACCGGCTCCTCTTCGTGCCCATTCATTTCAGCCTTCCTAACTGCCTGTGTATTTATCTGCTCTTCTGAACTGGACAGACTTGAATGGATTTTTTTTTTTTTAATTTCTTATTGATTCCCTCATTAACTAAGGAGCTAATTTTTCATTTTACATTTTGGTAATGTCCTCCAGCCAAAGACCACACCCACAGAAACGCACCCACAGTGGATAAAGCTGGGCTTCCTGGCTGGGTGGCTGCAACACAGGCAAACACATCCCATGGGGTGACTCAGAATGTGTTAGAAAGCACAAATATAGGATTTGAGTCTGTGCTGGTGTTTTAGGGAGGATGCCAAGAAGTGGGGTTTGGCTCTGGACTGGGTGCTGTCAGGAGGCAGGGCCATCTCCGAATGTCTGCCAAGTTCTGCTGTGATGATGGACTGCTTCTATCTCACCTGATTCCATCACTGTCGCAGGGGGGCTGTGATGGGGGCTGTGCCCCACGACAGTGCCAGGCTATGCCCCGCAGTCAGGAGCTGCTTTTCCCTTTTTCAAGCTAGAGGAGATCCATTCCTTAAACTATCCCTTAATAACACAAAACTGTTCTGATCTTTTATTGCCATCAGTTGGGAGGACCGTTAGTACCCTTGTCGCATACTTCTGTATCGACTGAATTCTATACAACACACAAGTACAACCTTTCTTGTAGAGTGGCTGGTGGAATCTTAGTTCTGCAACTGGGTATCAAACCTGTGCCCCCTGCAGTGGAACTGTGGAGTCCTAACCACTGGGTAACCAGAGAATTCCCAAGCAAGTACAATTTTTATAATCTGAAGAAAGGAGCAGTTCAGTGGTTAAGACTGGCAGTTCAGTGGTTAAGACTCCGAGCTTCCAATGCAAGGGCCGAGGGTTCAATCCCTGCTTTTGGGGAAATAAGATCCCACATGCTATGTGGTGCAGCCAAAAAATCAAAACATAACCTGAAAAAAGTAGTCAAGATTTTTTAAAACATCCGTTTAACAGTTACCTCTCTCCTTTTTATCGCCTCCCGCAGTAAGGTTGCTACATCGTGCCCCACGCAGTCAGTTGCCTTAAAACCTTTGGTCCAGGTGATTAAGATACCCTGTAACAAGAAGGGCACCGCAGAGTCTTGTCATTAATCCTTCCAGGCAGAACACAAAATGCCACTCCCTCCTTCCAGAGTAAACACCTGCTAAGACAGTATAGTGAGATGATGCTGGAACATCTGAGGCACAAACAAGTAGAATATGAAGAGTCCTCCCAGGCCTGCCCCCTCTCACAGTTCTCACAGTGGTCTGGTTTATGAGCCCCACTTCACAAACAGAGAAACCGAGGCATAGAAAGTTAACGGTGCTGCCCGTGGTATAACCAACTAGTTCCCCTGAAGAACAGTTTGCCAAAAACAGAAGTGGAGAAATACAAACTTTTAGTAACTCTGTTACTACCTAAAGTCAGCTTTAGGCTTGACTGGACTGTAGTTTATATACCTGCTAGCTGTATACTCACTATGATGATGGTACAAGTGAACTGCTTTTAAAAACCACCAGACCTTTAACAAATCACCCTTAAAAACTGCCAAAACCAAGTTTACATGGATCCACCTGTTGAGATCTCAAAGCCTTTAAGAGGGAAAAAGCCCCGAGTCAGCACTGTGACTGGATTAACTGGCTTCCAGAGGCAGGAGGCCCTACCCAGCTTCTCAACTGCCAATCATATGCTGCAAACCCTGGCCTAAGACCTATGTGATGTGATGCCAGCACCACGGCTTCCTCCCTGGCCATACCCCTACCTGGGAAAACGCAGGCTCCCGCAACAACAGGACGGGTCCTGCCTGCACGACTCTGCACAGTCAGCTCCTTTCACATGGACTGTCCCCCTGCCCCACCAGGACCCCAAGCGTGGCGCTGGAGCTGCTGGTCTAAGGGCCGGGATGCTCCACTAGACTGGGGCCTCCCTGGGGGCAGGAACTGCCTGCCCAGTTCTCAGTCCTCAGCAGGTGCCCAGGCCTTGACCTTGAACTCTGTGTCATTCCATTTACTGAATAAACATTTATTAAGCATCTTTTCTGCTAGCACCCTGGGCTAGGGCCTGTGGGGAACACAGATCCTTGGCTCAAGGATCAAATGACATTGAAGAAAAGAAAGACACAGGAGAGCATTAAAAACTGGGTAAAAAGTGCTACAACCAGGCAACATTAGAAGAAAAAGGGAATGCTGAGGAGGGTGAGATTCTTGTTGCCTGGAGGCCCAGAAGAGGTGAATGCTTTAAATGATAAAAGAAGAGTAGAGAAGAGTCTGAAGATGTTTTGGAGGGTATGGCTTAAGAGCTGGGTCAACCCTCTGTGACAGCTAAATTGTCCAGAATCGAGGGGTGACCCACGGTCTGGAGGAGGCTTCAAGAGCTGACCCACACTGGCCAAGAGTCGGTCAGCACTGCCCGATGTCTGAGGTCTGGAGAAAAGAGACTCACCGCATCTAAGCTCGTCTGCTTGCAGGGAAACGAAAATGTGAAGCCCAGAGGCATTTTAGGGCCCTTGATGCCCATGTAGTCCAGGAAGTCAGAGATGCAGGAAACGATGTGGTCAAACAGCTTTAGAGGAAAAGAAGGGATTACTTATGCACCTCTGGTTTCACACCCTCAGTGCACACACAAACACACAATGACACAGGCAGAGCCCTCCCTCAGAACTTCAGAGGGGCCCGAGCATCCTCAGCCCAGCGTGGCTGAAGGTACCTGACACTTAAGGGCTGCCCGGACCCAACTGCACTGCAGCATGTATCACATGGAGGCTCTGGGGCTCAGCAAGGCCACTGGCCAGGTGTTTGACGTACACATGCCTTGGCGAGGGAAAAGCAACACTATCTTACCTCCTCCCCAGTGCCCTGCATGATTTCAATGGGAATGGCATAGATCTTATTGTGCATTTCCACCGATCTCTTCTTCCCACTACGGATTTTCACCAGCAGGACACGGAAATTCGTTCCTCCAAGATCCAGGGCCAAGAAGTCACCATTCTCTGTTGCAGTCAAGAATATCAAGCAGGTCAAGAAGAGTGAATTTCACCTTCTGGCAGCCAGAAACTTCAAACTTTCGAGGGAGGGAACCCCATATTAAACACAGGGGAGAAACTGTTAAGTCTTTTCTCAGCATACAGCCCAGGCTCAGAGAGGTGGGCACGAACTCATAACTACCACAGTCCCAAGCCACACTAGAAGACAAAAGGCCCCATGGATGAACCAACAGGACCAGCAAGGTCACAGTACAGGTTGGATGCAGAGCTCCAATATGCCTGGATGTGAAACTCCCCAGGCCTCTGCGGGCCTCTCACTCTCTCCACCTAGGAAGGCGGCACTGTTTATCCTTCTTCTGCCTTACTGTGTTTAGCAAAGGACCTACAAGCAATCTCAGTGCTTCAGAATCCACCCAGCTCTGATCTTTAAACAATACTTTCTAATTCGGAGTCAGGGCTGTGGTTTTAAAGACAGCGCCTGCCTGGGAGTCCAGACCAGGGGAGGTCAGCTGCCTTGAGTCTCACATGCAGCAAGCAAGTCGGTGGGAAAAATGGAAGAGAGGGACTTCACTGGTGGTCCAGTGGTTAAGACTTCACTTTCTAATGCAGGGGATGTGAGTTCATCCCTGGTTGGGGAGCTAAGATTCCACATCCCTCATGGTCAAAACACAAAACATAAAACAGAAGCAACATTGTAACAAATTCAATAAAGACTTTAAAAATGGCACACATCGAAAAAAAAATCTTTGAGAGGTTTGAGTGAGTTTCTAACTCTTGCCAAAATCATGCCACCCATCCCACTGTCAATGTGTCCCCTGGAGAAGCCAACCTCCCAGCAGCCCCACAGTGACTCGGCCGCTCATATGAGAAGCAGGAGGCACATGTGAGCCCCCAGCTCAGGTCCTCACCAGTCCCATCAGGAGTGCTCCGGACGAAGGAGGGCAACATCTTGACCACAGCCTTGTCATGCGTCTGCTTGCCCAGCCCCAGTTCCATCTCGGCCCGCATCCTCTTTTTCACCTCCAGCAGCATCTCCTTGGTGAGACTGAAGTGAGCCAGGGTCTCCTCTATCTGTCGGTGCTGCTCAGCCAGGCGGTAGGCCACGGCAGTCACCATGGCGGCCCCCTTGCCACTGCCGCTCTCGGAGAGGAGGAAACGCACATCGCAGTCGGGTACCAGGCGCCGCAGAGTCTTGTGGAAACGCCGAGAATACCTGGGGGGCGGGGCGCACAGTAGACAGACTGAGCCAGACTGGAGGAACCTCTAGGATCCCTTTCTTTTTCCACACTTTAATTCCATCTTCTACACTCACTTTCCTCGTCATACAACACATCCACTGTAGACAAGTTAGCAAACACAGACAGGTAAAAAAGGAAAACTGAAATCACCCATAGTCACACACAAAGAGTGGGCTCTCGTTATTATACGAATATCGGGGGCGTTCTCTGGTGGTCTAATGGTTAGGATTCCATGATTCCAGTGCAGAGGGCACAGGTTTGATCCCTGATCAGGGAACTAGGATCCCACATACCATGCAGCCAAAAAAAAGAGAAGAGTATCAAGTACAGAAAATTCAGAGTTAAAAAATCTGTTGTCCACCATGACAAAGAGATAATACAGTACACTGGTTAAGAAAGGGCCCAGTGTTTAAAAGTCAGACCAGAAGGGACTTCCTTGGAGGTCCACTGGTTAAGACTTTGCCTTCCAATGCAAGGGGTACAGGTCAGATCCCTTGTCAGGGAGCTAAGATTCCACATGCCTCAGGGCTAAAAAACCAAAACACAAACAGAAGCAGTGTTGGAGCAACTTCAATAAAAACTTTAAAAATGGTCCACATAAAAAAATCTTAAAAAAAAAAAAAAAGTCCCCACTTTCACACCAGGGGACCTGGGCCTGTTGCTTAATCCTGGAATCAATGCAGATGACAGCATCTAGCTGACAATGATGAGGAAGGAACTCAAATGAGTTCGTCAAATGCTTCAATGAATAACTGACGCTAAGCAGGGGCTCAATAAAGAATTGCTCTTGTTTTTCATTTTCACTTGGCCCTTTCCCTCAGTCCCCAAGAGCTGAGATATTTTTTAGTGGTTAGAAGACTTTAGGACAAGACTCAGTAAGACAGAATTTTCTCCAGGTTTGTGGTCTGTTGTAAGTATGGAAGGCTGCTTGCCAAAGGAAACTGGGAATCTAGAACCCCAAAATGAACAGTGGTCAATTCCAGGGGATGGGATCAAAAGTGACTTCTCTCTGACATTTTTTGAACTATTTGAAGTTTCTATACCAAAAATATGTTACTTTGTATTTTAATCTGTATTTAATCAGTTATTTTTTTAAAAATAAAGTTGCAGATGAAGAGTTCAAGAGATTGCTGGTGGTGATGGCTGCACAACAGTATGAATGAACTTAAATTTACTGACCTGTACACTCAAAAAATGGTTGAGACTGTAAATTTTATATTATGTATATTTAACACAACTAGAAGATTATTTTAATGTGATGTAAATGCCTAAGCTTTCTCGTCCAAAAACTAGCCAAGAAGTTTTTTTTTAAAATGGCTAACTGCATTATCAAGAATTTTACAAATACTCTAAGAATACAAAGCAATAAAATCGTGAACCTGGCAGATAACAGCTAACTAGCTCAAACCCTATCCCCTCAGTAACACTGAATTATCTCAGTTTAAGTCAATCTTCATTTAACTGTTTCGAGACCTAGTATGAAGGCACAGTATCTGCAAGGCCACTTCACAGGCACATTATATATACAATGGGAGAAATATCTGAGGTCATGTATTGAAAAAAAAAAAAAAAAAAACATCTTACAGGCAGTCATTTTTAAAACTCAATACTGGGACTTCCCTGGCAGTCCAGGGGTTAAGACTTCACCTTCCAATTCAGGGGTGTGGGTTCAATCCCTGAATGGGGGTCTAAGATCCTACATGCTTCCTGGCCAAAAAAACAGAAGCAACATTGTAACAAATTCAATGAAGATGTTTAAAAGGACCCTCATCAAAAAAAACTTTAAAAAATTAATTAAAATAAATAAATAAAACTCAGTATATAAAGACTTAGAATTCACCTTTAGCCTTTTAAAAAAATACAAACCATGTTCTTAGTGGCCAGAGAAGGCTTCTGACACTAATGAGTCCAACAGACAAGAAGGCAGCATCTAGGTGAGGACTACTGACAACCTTATCTCTCACTGGCTTGCAGATGCAAAGCGTCGACAAGCTGCCCATTTTTAAACAGTACTATCCGAGTGTTTGGGGAGCTTTAGAAACTCACAGGACCTTCTAACATAGGAAAGTGGGCAGCACATGTATATTCCAAACTATAGCGAGGATGACAGTCCCTGATTAAATGCAGACAAGTAAGAGAATTGAAGATACAGACACATTCCACCCAGTGCTCCTGGCAGTTAAAGAAGTCTCTAACAAGACTTATGAAATGAGGAGAGATGACAGAGCAGTGCAGAAGCAACATCAGTGGGAATCAGCTGAGAGCCAGATATTTCTCCAAGTGGGCAACTCTGATCCTTCTGTCCAACACTAGATATTGACTTGTCTGCCAAAAACTTTCACTGGGTACAAAAGTCTGACCTCTGGAGACGGTCCTTCGCCAGGGCAGGTACTGAGTGCCAATGAGAGCAAAGGGGACTCACTGTGGGTGCGTCTTGTAAAGGGACCCGTCGACACCAACCGTGGTCCGCAGCCTGGGCGTGCCCTTGTTATCTCGGAGGCGGCTCAAGATGGCGCCCAGGGTCGCGGCCACCAGGTTGGCAGAGCGAAATGAGACAATGGTGCACACGTGCTGAACCGAAACACAGTCATCATCGGATGGCTCCACTCCCAGGCGGGTCAGGATTTCTTTGGCATTGTGGAGGCCTTCCTTATTCCTGTGGAGTCAGAGGCCAATACCCGTTAGTTGAGGACCATAGCAGGCGGTGCAGTGCTGTGAACAGAGGGCGTGAAGGTCCTGGGGAGGTGAACTGATCATTCATCGTGTGTGTGTGTGGCAAAGGAAAAATCCCTGAGAAGGGGTCTCCTCCATAAGAGGTCGGAAAGCAGCAGGAGGAAGAACTGTTATGGCTAAGTTATGTCAGGCACATGGAGAAGACAGGCCAGGGCACATGGGCTCTCAGCAGGTGGAGGAATAGCTGCTTCCATCCCAGGGCTCAGTGCTTCATAGAGGTGAGGGAATCAGATGGTCTTTGGGTCTGTCGTGTGCCCCTGGATTCTTACACATTCTTCCATGATTTTTTCAGTCAGAGTTTAATTTCCTGCATTTTTGTTATTTAGTTGCTAAGGCATGTCCAACTCTTTTGCTACCCCATGGACTGTGGCCTGCCAGGCTTCTCTGCCCATGGGGTTTTCCCAGGCAAGAATGCTGGAGTGGGTTGCCATTTCCTTCTCCAGGGGATCTTCCTCACCCAGGGACCGAACCCACATCTCCTGCTTCGCAGGCGGATTCTTCACCACTGAGCCACCTGGCAAGTCCATAATTTGCTGCATACATGCTTTGTATAGCTTTTGTTGGATTTAAAGTATATCATGGAGGGTATAGCTTTATTACTATTGTAGATGTTGTCTTAAAAAAAAACACATATACACATGTATTTTAAATGTACCATATTAAAATGTTAACAATGGGAAACACTGGTTAAGAGATATATACTATCTTTGTAGTTTTTCTGTAATTCTAAAAATAGTCTAAAAGATTTTAAAATACATACATATTTTAATTACTGTCAATACATAGAAATATAATTAACCTTTGTATCTTATCTCCAGACATCATTCCTAACCTCTTCTGTTATTCTAATCACGTGTCTAGAATTATTTTGGTATTCTATACAAATACATCTGCAATTAATGACAGTTTTACTTTCTCTTTTTATGATTCTTATGCCTTTAATTTCGTTTCCTTTTTTCTTTCCTAAAAAACTATTGGCTAAGGCTCCAGAACAATGCTGAATAGAAACAGGTGATACTAACACAGGGCGCTTAACTTGGTGCTCTATGACAACCCGGAGGGGTGGGATGGGGTGGAAGAGAGGTTGAAGAGGGAGGGGACATATGTATACTTATGGGTGATTCATGTTGTTGTCTAGCAGAAACCAATACATTGTAAAGCAATTATCCTCCAATCAAAAAAAAAAAAAAAGAAACAGGTGATACTATCTTGGTCCTGATTTTAAAGAGAATGCTTCTAATATATCTTCACTGGTACGATGTTCTTAATAGATTTTTTTTTTTTTGAGATAGGCTTTATTACAACACATATGCCTTCTTGAGCTAGTTGAAGTGGGTTTTGTCTCTTGGTAACCAAAGAGCCAACACCATAAACAGCCCCAGAGGAAGGCAGGCATTTCCTGACTTTGTCAATGATTCTGAGATAAGCCGCACGTCTCAGGCTCCCTCCCCTCCCAACAGCTGAGCAGGAGACCCTGAGAAGGGGGATTGTTGGAAACTCAGTAGTGTGGCTCCCTACTGACTGTAGCGCTGCAGATCCTGAAGAAGAGGTTCTAGGACAAAGGCCGGGACTCAGAAAGAGTAGGTTCAGATAAACCCCTTTCCATTTATATCAGCATCTTCTCCCTGGAGTCAGAGCTATGATGCCACCGGCTCTGAATTTCCAGAACCACAGCATGGGCAGTGGGATGACCACCTCATGCAGAAATGAAAGGGCATTTCTAGCATCAAGCTAACGTTATCTTTAAACAGGTGGCCTCATGTGGCTATGTGGAGTCTCCTGAACCAGGAATAGAACCTGGTGGCACATGGGACCAGCTACAGGACTGGTGCCCTTTAGACGTTGAGCTGCCTGGCTACATCAAGCTGCCTGGCAGCAAGTCCACCAAGGCCTGCAAATAACAGGCCTTGAGTGGACTTGAGACAGAGAAGTCTAGGTTTCTTACGTTAAGGTCAAAAGATAGAAGCCAGGTTGCTGGCTGGACTCTGTCCTTCTATGTCTATCTGTCCTATCTCATCTTTTAACCAATGCTTCTCAAACTTGTGCCATATGTGGCTGTGAACAAGTGAAAGAATGTGGAGGGGGGGGCAGGAGACAGAGAGGTGAGTGGGGTAGGCAGAGTAGGGAGGGTGCTTCAGGCACAAAAGGATTTTGGGAAATGACCAGTTAACCAAAGTGAACTAGACTTTCTTTTATATGCTAATGAATACTTATACTTCTCTAAATATTTCCCAGTCCTAGAGGCCGCAAAACCCTTTCTTCGGGGAACACCTAATGATCCTGAAGTCAGTAGGGTTCCCTGGAACACTGTCTGGAGAAGACCCTGATATCCCAAGGGGGAATTAACCTAGGCCTGAGCTCAATCAGTTCCTGTTCACTTCCAGAATCAGGTGTATGTGGGGTTGGGGGAGGGTGAAGGAGAAGGGGAAGCTTTGGTAATCACACCATTCAAGAAGCATTTGCCTGACTGGTGCCACCAGGTGCCCATAGGGAGAGCAGCCCAGGGTGGATCAGCTAAGTGAGAGGGGAGACCAGCCCAGAAAGCCCTGACACTCCCAGCAAACCAGGACTCAAGCAGGTAACAAGAGACCCATCGTTCTTCTCTGCCCCATGCCCCCCGGAAAGCCTCGAGGGGAGGCACCTACTTTTCGATGGCCGACACATCACTGGTGTTAAACTTCCCTCTGGTGAGCAGCTCTGGGGTGATCCGCCCTTCAAATAAGAGGCCCTCCTTGGCCATCTTGACCAGGATCAGTCGGACCAGCTCGCCCATGTACATGCCACTGACCATCTTCTCAAACCTGTGGGAGAAAAGCACCAGGGACTTGTCAGTCCCTCCTACGTACTCACCACTGTGGCAGCTCATGAGTGGTAGGAGAGATGTGAAAGGAGAGGAAGGCGTGGCCTCAATTCTCACAAGCGCACAGTCTCACTGGCAGGCAAGACCATGCATCTGTGTGAGTAAACAATGAACAGACGTGGGGAACAGGGGTTATCCAGACCCCATACCCATTCCCAAGGTAGGAAACAGGAGGAGAGCACCAAGGGGCAGGGGCAGTCAGGGAAGGCTGCCTGGAGGTAGAGGGAACATCAGGATTTAGATGGAGGATAATGAGGAGGGACCTAGACAGGAATGAGTAGGATACGATCATCTCGTGCAAAAGTTTATGCCTTACTTTTTATTTTTATTATTTTTGGGCCATGCCACACGGCTTAAAGAATCTTAGCTTGCATGGATCTTAGCTCTTCGACCAGGGATCGAACCTATGCCCTAGCAGTGTAAGCACTGAGTCCTAACCACTGGACTGCCAGGGAATTCCAATTACTGTACTTTTTAAAGGGTTTTCATCTTCATCCCTCTATCAGGAAGCTCTCCAATTCCTGTGGCAAGGTGGTCAGGAAGTATTCTCCCCATTTCCCAGCTCAGAAAGTGTAGATGTCTTCTCTGAGGGAAGATGACAGGGCTGAAATGCAGCCATTCCCCATGGGACCTCTGTCGCTGGTCACCTTCCTGGCACCCATGTTCTCCTTCTCCAACCAAGAGAGACCAAGAAAAAAGGTCTCCAAGAAAGTGCTTTGTGCAACTCACTCCTTCCCCACTGACCTGCCCTTACACTCCAGGAGAGGGCTCCCCAGCAGCCGAAAACCAGCCAGCTCCTCCTACCGCTCTGGCCACATTCAGCCACAGGCCAATCACAGTGGATCGGCCCTCCTGCCTCCCCTGGGAGGTGTGGTGGGCGGTGTGAGTGCTGTGACTGCAGCAGCCATTTCGAGCCCAACACTGCAGGGGAGAGGCAGCCAGGGACTAGGGCTCGAAGCCATATCTGAGCCGGAGCCAGGTCCTGAGTCCTGGCTGACGAGGGGCCAGGAGGAAGCCCAGAGCAAGACAGATCAGAGGCAGGTCCACATCCAGGCAGCTGGCCTCTCCTCTGAGGGAGCCCAGCTGGCACACCCAGGGCTGGCTGTGACACAGCAAAACAGTCTGTTCCATTCAGAGCCGGGTGCAGGAGCCAGGGATGCTGCTGGGACCTGAAGGCGCAGCCCTCCCCCCTGCAAATCAAGGAGTGGGGAAACACTAGCTCTCATTGTTCAGACAGGACCAGACGGGCCTGCCCTGGCCACGGCTGTGATGAGGATCCCTAGCAGGAGAGCGCCCTGCTGAGTCCTAGCTGCCCCACCCAGCTCCTGCCCCAAGCACCTGTGGGAACAGCTTCAGTGCCACCCAAACTGGAATCTCAGAGCAGACAGGAGCCAGACTACCTGAACTGAACTCCAGCCCTGCCACTTTATTAAGCTACTTACCTTTTGGGGCCTCAGTTTCTTTACCTGCCTAATGGGGATCACACAGGGCCCACCTATAAGGTTTCTGTACAAAAGACAGAGGTGGATATAAGTAAAACGCTCCAGTGCTTGACTAATACTGAGCCATGGCCCTTGCTATGTCTCCTACCTAATTAAGCACTTTATGTGTATTAACTTACTTCATCCTTATTATAAACCTATGAGATAGACATTATCATTATCCCCATTCCACAGATGAGAAAACTGAGGCATAGAGAGGTTATATAACTTGCCCACAGTCATAGGGCTGATGAGTAGCAAATTCATTATTTTCAATCCAGTTAAACCCAGCCTCAGATTCCATGCTCTAAGCACTGTGCTCTTCTGTCTCTCCCATGGACAGTGTCATTAAAAGTCACCTGTATTACTGTCATGCTGGCAGCCACCAGCCCCAGCCCAACCCAGCCTCTGCTTGTCTACCTTCAGCTCACGCCTCGAGGCAGCCTGCACCCCCTATTGGGCAAGTATGACAACAGGAAGGTTCTTCCCCCTTAAGGTGAGCTACAGTCAGCCTTGGGCACCTCCCTACCATTGCTGCTGCTGCTTCTTTTAAAAATTATTTTCGGCTGCACCAGGTCCTCATTGCCGTGCCCAGGCTTTCTCTAGTTGCAGGGAACAGGGGCTACTCTCTAGTTGGTGGAGCAAGGGCTCTAGTGCTATTGGGGTTCAGCAGTTGTGGGGCACAGGCTTCGTTGCCCCACAGAATGTGGGATCTTCCCAGACCAGGGATCAAACCACTCCCCCTGCACTGGCAGGTGGATTCCTAAACCACTAGACCACTAGGGAAGTCCTACCCATTGCTTCTTGCTCTGCCTTCTGGAGACACTCAGAATGACCTGCTCCCCTTTCTACACGATGGTCTCTTAGACACATAGACACTGCCATCCCCCTTTTCAGATAAAGGAAGCCTGAGGCCAAGAATCTGTCCTTTCCCAGTCCCTAGAGTCCCCGCTGGAGCAGCAGAACAAGGAAACAGCACTTCTCACAAGCCTCCAGAGAAACCCAGCAAGTTGTGATCTGCTGCTCAGCAGTCAGATACCTACGACCACAGGCCAGTGGGTGGCACCATGGTGTTGCAGCCTCGCTGCATGCTGGTGGGCACAGGCAGTGCTGTGGCCCACAGGGCCTGGGGGAAGATGGGAAAGATGGGCAAGGGATTGGACAACAAGGAGTGCCTTTGGCAACCAGGGTCTGCTCCGACGGGCAGCCCAGGGACGGAGAAGGAGGGTGAGGTCTGTGGGCACCTAAAGAGGATTAGAACTGCTGAGAGAGTCTATGGGTCAGGCAGAACAACAGTAAGGAAGGTGTTTGGGGGATGACTTGAAAAGAGGTGCAATTACTCCACCACCATCCAGGCCAGACCTCCCTGCTGTCACGATCACTGCTGCTGCTGCTCTGCGGGGCCGTGTCTCCTTCACACCGAAAGATGTGAGAGGGAATCACAGGGGAATGGGATTCAAAACTCTTAACAAAGCAGAAAATAAAAGAAAACCGAAGAGCAAAAGGCCTAAGAAGACAAGAAGAGGAGAAGGAAAATGAAAAATGAAAGAGGGTGGGGCTACATCTAGAGTAGGAGACAGGTGTGGAACCAGGACAGAGGGCAACAGGGAGGAAGGAAGGCCATGTCCGGTCCCTTTTAAGGGAGAAACCTTCTAACCTGGGGGCCAGGGGAGGGGTCCTGAAGCAGCTGTCAGCAACGAAGCCAGGAGCCACAGAGCCGCTGTCAGCTGGATATGGTCAGTACTCAGTAAATGTAAACTTCAATCAAAACAAATGAGTGGATGCATAGTGGTCTAGAGCCCACCTGGGCACAGCGCCTTTAGATAGAGCTAACACACCTCTGTTTTTCAGCCCTGGTTAAAAACTGGAATCACTTGCAGGCTCTTGAAGACAGGCCTCAGACCAGGCCAAGTAGAATTGGGAGGGAAGGTGGGTAGGGTGGGGGAATACCTAGGCAACAATATGTTTTTTAAAGGTCTCGAAAGAATTCTTCTTTGTTTTTCCTGGCCATGCCATGCAGCTTGTGGGATCTTAGTTCCCTGAGCAGGGATTGAACCTAGACTCTTGGCAGTGAAAGCACAGAGTCCTAACCACTGGACCACCAGGGAATTCCCCCTTTAAAAAAAAAAAATGTTTTAATGTAATTTTAGTGAAAAACATTCCTCTAGGGGACTTTCTGGGGAATTCTTCTAGGGAATTAAGATCCCACATGCTGTGTGGCACAGCCAAAAAAAAGAAAAACATTCCTTTAGACCATTCATGATAATTTTTGCTCATAAATGATGAAATGCCTCTTAAGACATTCTGGAAGTTCACTATGAAAAACATGTACTTTCCAGCACGACAGAAAACCACAAACCTAAGCCAAATTAAACCTCAAATTAGGCCAGCTTTGCTCTGTCCTGTGTCCTAGTGTCTTAATTTTCCCATCAGTCAAATGGAGCAAACACCTTTCCCTGGTACAAGGAAAACAAAACGGCTTTGAAGAACTTGACATTATACAGAAGACACAGGGAAGACCCCCCAAATCAGGCAGATGCCTAGGAGACCAGCTACAGTAACTTTGGCAAAAAACCTTCTGACCAATAGCCTATTTCTAGCAACATATGATACAACTCAAAATCTGTCATTTTTTCAGAACTGCTCTTACCAAGACCTGACCTATGGTTCAGTCAGCAGGGAAGATGGAGATGGACCTTACCCCACCTGTCTCACTCTTTTATCCACGTACTTATTTCCCACCCATTTCCCAGGCACACTTCTTATCCAATACTCATCTTCCAACCCCCATCCATCCATCCATCCATCCACTTATCCTTGCGTGTCCATCTTCTATCTATCCACCATTTCAAATATGTTTATTGAAAGTCAACTGTGAGGCCAGTTCACATTTCAGCCTGAGGATACAGTTCAACTCTTTACAGAAATTCAGAAATACATCAAAATGGATGACAGAAAATCCAGGTTTCCACCCAAGCCACGCAGGATCCCTACATTGAGGCCAAGTAAATAGCCAAGGCCCTGGGCCTTATCTGCTCTGTTATCGCAGGTAACTCCCCAACCTGCTCTGCTGAGAAGGGTGACTTTCAGATTCAGTGATTGACAGTAACTACAGGTACATCATTTCTTATCTGAAACCCCTGGGTCACATTTGCTTGGGAATGTGGACATTTGAGGATTTTAGAGATGTAATATGGTACACGTGCCATATAGTACAGAATAACCCCAGAGGTGCCTGAGGCAGGACTATAACCAAGCACAGATCTCCAGTGACATATATAAACATGCAAGTAAATAGCTTCAAGGCAGCTGGGGTCAGCTTTTAGAATTGGGGGTTAGGTCAATGGATTGAGGGGGAAAAACCTTTGGTTATCAGAGCTGGGGCTCTTTATTACCCAGCTGGTGTTTTGGCATGCAGAGCAGATGTTCAATGCTGGGTCTAAGAACTCAGGATTCTCCCAGTGAGAGACCTCATTTATTCACCACTACCACTCCCAGTGGAGGGAGGTTGGCCATTTATGCAATTCCATTAACTCAGGTAGAAAGCCCAATCAGCCAGCCTGGGGGATTGAGATCTTTTGGGTGACAGATTTCAAAATGACAAACTCCCTGACAGTGTCTCTCTAGCAAAGGATAAGGGCAATTAAGCTCACAGGGTCAATGAACATCTCCCAGCGTGCTGACAGCACCCAACTCCAGAATAAGGCTGCTGGGAGGTCAATCAAAGAGGGCAGCATGCTAGCATCACAGAGAAATATGAATATGCACTTCAGGAAACAAGGAGTTCATAGGAAGCAATGCCCACACCAGCCTGAATGATATCTCTCATACTTCTGTGGCCAGAGCTCTCCAAGGCCAAGACCAACTTGCCAGAGAAGCCTGATGTTATGTTCTTTATCAGTTGTGACCCATCTGGCTTACACATGACATGGAAGAAGGTCTCCCTACAGTCTGCATGACTCACATGGCTCCCAACCACTCCCCTGCATGACAGTTATTTGTGTATGTGACTTCCCTCCCCAACTGGACCTTAAGTTCTGGAAGGGAAGATGTTACTCTGTATCCCTGGAGCCTAGCAATGAGCTGGCACATCTCAGGTGCTCAAGAAGTGTGTGCAGAGTGAATGGACACTCACTCACTCTCCCTGCTCACCAGACACCCCACATACTGAGTGGCTTCTCCCACCCTCAGCAGCAAACCCTACTGAGGACATCATATGGAAACGTTTTTAAACCTTAGCTTCGGGCTAATGATTCTGTGCTTTTAATTTTTAAAACATTTACAAGGACACAATCACAGTGTAATTAAACAGAAATTTGGGGGTGGAGTGGGGGGGTAAATTGGGAAATTGGGATTGATGCATACACGTTATTACTATATATAAAACAGATAACTAATAAGAACCTACTGTATAGCACAGGGAACTCTACTCAATACACTGAATGACCTATATGGAAACAGAATCTGAAAAAGAGTGGATAAATGTATCAATATAAGCAATTTGCTTTGTTGTATAGCAGAAACTAACACAACATTGTAAATCAACTATACTTCAATAAAAATTAACAAGGAGAAAATAATTTAAAACATGCTTTCAATGCTGCAGACACAACAGCTATATGTGTCTCCAAAAAAGTTAGATAACATACACTTGATGGGTGATCCTTTGGTGATCACCTGGCTTCCTCCCCCTCTCACCTTCCACCCCAAATCTCCCCTTAAGTGTCCCGCAGGTCCTCTATATGAGTAGTAAGAAAGGGTGGGACTCACAGCTGCTTCCCGGGGTTGAGCGACCCCCGGTCTATCTCCCGGTCGAACTCAGTGCGGATGTCCTCCAGGGCCCCGTCGTCCCCGAAGGCCCCCCACTCGGTGTTGATGCACATCCTCCCCTCGTCGCCCTCCACCAGGTCGATATGCCTGAGCTCCTCCATGTAGCACGCATTGGTGCCGGTACCTTGGAGAGAGAGACGAGATCAGAAGCTGTGACCACAACACGTCACGGGAGAGACGGCCACACCTGCTGGAAACGCCGGCTTCAGGAAGGGACAAGGATGGGGTGGGCGTTACCAATGATGAGGCCGACTTCACACTGCTGGTCATCATAGCCACAGGTCATCATGGTGCCCACCGTGTCGTTCACCACGGCCACAATGTTGGCGTCATAATCCTGGAGGCAGAGAAGTGGGGGTCACTGCCCACTCACACGTGGAGCAGAGATCACCAGCCTTTAAGACAGCCTGGCTGGAGGGCTCCCATTTCATAGCCTCCACTGCTGCTTTCATCACTGGGGGCACTCAAATTCACCGGATTCAAGCCCAGTGATCACATTATGGAGACGAAAAGGTGCCCTTCATTATTTGGTTTACGATTCTTTTCAGTGTGGAGTTCACTCACAGAGCCACAGCCCTGTGTAAACCATCCCAATGCATCCGTGTGCCTTCTGCATTTGCTGCAACCCCGGCATGCTGCACTCGATCACGCCAGCTCCCTGCACAGCTGCCCTCCTGTCAAAAGGAGGCCAACCCCTGCCCAAGAGTTTGGCTCTTTGGTAGCACCTCGGATGGCTCTGCTTTAAACCAGCCGTGACCTTCCAGACTGTGAGCTCTCAATGCTCACCTGCCTGGGTCTTCAAGGACCCGCACGCACCACACCACCACCACCATGTAATGCCTCAGGCCATGCACTACTGTACCCCAAAAGAACCTTAGTCTCACAGCCTTCTCCCCACACTCCCCCACCGCTGGGTGGTCAAGGCAAGTGGCTAGTGAGAAGTTACCCCACGCTTTTTGATGGCTTTTTCAAGCAGCTTCACCACATCGGCTCCCTCCACGCCGCTCGCTTTAAATCTCTTTGTCCAGGTGATCAGGATGGCCTGCACAGGAGAGCACAGAGGGGTTGGAAGAGGGCTAGGAGGCCTCCACAACCTCCAGGTCCCTGGGGAGCCTGCTCAAGGCCCGGGGGGGGACACATCCCATCGGGTAACAGACCCAGACTCTTCTCTCCTGTTTATCCACCCACACAATGCATTTCTCTGGGGGCTGCCACAGGAAAAAAACCCTGCAGCTCACACTCAAACACAGTCCGTGGCTGGCCAGTGCGGTGGTGTCTCACAGCATGCAGATCTAACTGGTGTCAACTGCACAGCCAGACTTCATTTAGAAAGAGAAACACTGTTATTACCTGATCACCTTTCTGTATCTTCAAACCAGACCTTGGTTTCCATGGCCCCAAGGAACTTTCGTCAGTAAGAGAAACAAAATGCTAAGAGGCTACTGTGCTTCTAAGAGCCAAGTCCTGAGCTTAAAGTATAACACTAACTGTGATTCATGCCTCTTCCCCAAGTTTGGACAGTAACTCCCATTTGTAAGCGATGACTCTATGACACAGTATAATCCATTTCTGTGTGTATATTACTCGAGAAACACTAAGGACAGATACCCAGTGGTTATTCACTTCAGACTATAGAAGCATAGGAATTTTACATTTTGCTTTACACCTTTATTTCAATAGTTTTACCTATTGCTTCTATATCTTTTTCTTTAAATCAAGGATCCAAGAAAAGAATATTGTTCTATGTGACTATTCTCTGAGTGCAGAAGTCATTATAAATGTGGCTTGGTTGGGAAGAGCTGCTATTTAGGCCCCGTCATCTCCAGGGTGACACAGGGATGAGGAAATGTCCACGTTGGGCTGCCCTGCTCTCCGAAAGCCGGGTAGCCTCCATGCAGGATGCATCAGGAAGGGCAGGCAGCAGCCTGCAGCTGACCAGGCATTCCAAAAGCCCCCAGACACTGTTATCACCCTTTCGACGCTCAGGCCCCCCAAAGCCTTGGCAAACATGGTGCTGTGGAAAGAACATGGATTGGAAATCAGGACATCAATCCTATCCCCACCACTTCTGTCCATTTCCTCGTGGGCAGTTTTCCCAACTCCTCTGAGGGTGACTCTGCTCATCTGTCAAAAAAGGCAGCTGGTCTAGACACTCTTGAAGGTCTCAGGCAGCCTTGAGGAGTGGGCACAGGCCTCCGGATGGGTAATTAGATCCTGGGATCCACTGGCTTCCTGGCAGGCAGCATGCCCAACTGAGCAAGCCCCCTCCAGAGAAGGGTCAAGGCTGGCAGGTGGGGGCCACTCTTTTGGCTCTTTCTCTGCCAGGCACCACCTGCTCTGCTCTGCCCTGTGGGGCTCTCGTGCCCCCGAGGACGCTCCCCATCCACTTCTGCCACACCTCCTTCCTTGGAAGACAGCACCTCTGCCAGACAGGCCATATCTGTGTGCAGCTTTACCCCAGGGCCTAGCCCAACCCGCAAGGATGGCACTCGGTCCACGGCCACTGATGGACAAGCAAACAGCCAGCAGCCACTTCATTCCCAGCCCATCTCCTACCTCTTCCGGCGGGAGCAGGGATGTCTCACCCTGTCTTCTGCCCAGGGAGTGTGGCTGTCAAGCCTCAGCTCTCAAAAGCCCAGGGAAACCAGTACTGACAACAGTCCTCACGAAAGGCCACTAACCCTACTTTGTTTTCTTTCACTTGCTTGAGTTTAAGAAACAGTTTTCTCTACCAAATGGCCACAAATACCATGATTTGTCATGAAAAATACACATATAACTAAAGCAACTGAAAAAGAAACATGATTATCATGACCTTACATTTTTTTCTACGAATGCTTAAAAAAAAAAAAAACAAGATACGCAGACCATCCAGTAAGAGAAAGGAAAAGGGTTCCTTAGCATTTCCCCTCTGGGGTGTCTGGGAAGCCTGATAATCCCAGAACGTCTTACCTCGTCTATTCTGGATTGCCGACAAGGGAAAGAAAACGTGAATCCCACAGGTAATTTCTTGTCCTTGATTTTTTTTTTCTCCATGAAGTCTCCCAGGCACTCAGCGACATGATCAAAAAGCTGGAGGAAGCACAAGAGAGCAGTTGGAAGGGACAAAGAGGACTGAGCATTTCAGGAAAAATGTGAGGGATTCTCTGCCCAACACAGAAAGGAGCCTGGCTACCCTAGCTGCCCATCCCCAAGGCACCTGGTGGCCAGGTGGGGCTTTCCCTGGAGGTTCAGTGGTTAAGACTCCCCATGCTTCCATTCCATGTGGGTTTGATCCCTTGTTAAGGAACTAAGATCATGTATGATGTGCAGCACAGTCAAAAAAAAAAAAAACACGAAAAGAGAAGCCAAGAAGTGCATGACTGACAAAGAAGAGTCCCTTGAAAATAGCCTGCCTCGTGGGCCAGCACGGCTTAGGAAGCCTTTTTAAGCCTTCACGTGGCCTCTCGTGTATCACCTGGGTACTCAGATGTATCATCTGGGTACTTAGGAAATGTGAAAATAAGAGGAAAACAGTTCATGCCCCACAACACACAGGCCATGGACCGCCAGCAGCCACCCAGGCAGAGTGACCATCTGGCCCCTTCTCTCTAACTCCATCTCTCTCTCCCTCACTCTGTCAGTTCCAAAAGCTCTGTGAGGCAATTCCCCAGCCTCTAGGCCACTTGAGTGATTTCACAGTCCTTGAGTTATCCAATTTTTACTTTTGACTCAAGTTCCACATGCATGCAAAAAAAGTGCATGCATCCTAAGTATAGGGTTCATCGGAGTCTCACAATTTGCACCCACCTGTGTCAGCACCCAGACCCCCTCCCGTGCAGTCACTGCTACTGCCACCCAACCTCACAAGGCCAATCGCAAGCCACTCTGACTTCCAACACCCTTTGCGTGGTTGTCTACTATGTATAAAAGGACAGCAGTGTGCGCACTCCATGGCGTCTGCCTTCATCTCCTCTACATTATGTGTGTGGGTCATCCACATAGTTGTGCGTCTCTACAGCAGTGAGATCCAGGGCTGGTTCCCACTGCTGCACAGTATTCTATGGTGTGAATATACTACGATTTATTTAGTGAACTGCAATTTAAGTTCTATGACATGTTGTAGAACTTGCTGGCTCTACAACATGTTGCCAGGATATGCATGTGTATCTTAGAATCCACTAGAAAGGAGTCAGAACACTGTTTCCCTAGCCTCTGTGTGAATACTGTCAATGACGGCAAGCTCATCACCTCTAAGGCAACTTTCTGGATTTCTCCAATACCTCCTCTTTCTCTAAAGTATATCCAGAACTGAATATAATATTTCACATGTGTTCTGATCAAAAAAAAAAAAAGCATAGTTGAATTAAGAACCTCCCTTTCTCTTAGCTCTCTACCTCTATTAATATAACCAAATCATATATATATGCTCTTTTGGCAACTGTGCCAGTCTAGGTAACCCCTCTTTTTTTTTTCACATGGCTGTCATCTAACACCAGGCCTCCCACGTACATGGGATTGGCACAGCTAACGGAGCTTCTTGAAGCCCAGAGAATGCAGCATTCGCAGGACCGAACCACACAGTCACAGGAAGCAAGCTCAGCCAAGGCAAGGCCAACTCCCTGAAGGCTTTCTCTGCAGGGTCCTTCCCCCCATATTAAACTTATAGTTCTATTCAGGTTTGATTTTAACGAATGTGTCGAGGAGAGAGGCAGGTCCCCTCCCCTCTCCTTCTCTTCCCTCCTCGCCTAAAGGGACTTGGGGAGGGTGCTGGTCCCTGGGCCGTGGGGGCGGTGTCGGGATAAAGGACCATGGAGGAACAAGAAACCAGACCAGGGAGGAGTGAAGCCACAGCCACAGCTTTCTGATTCCAGACTGAATTCACAGACAAAACACAACTAGACCATAAGCAGCACCCACTTCCTCTCCCCACTAGGGCTGCAGTTCCAGGGGAGAAGAGACAGTTTCACCAAAACCACGGTCTCCTCACACCGGGCCACTCTGTCGGAGCTCCCTGACAGGTTGAGGGGACAGAGGAAACCAAAATAAAACGTCGGATAAATTGTGTAGGAGGAACCCAGGAAGGGCCCAGCCAGAGCTGAGCCAGGCATCACGGCTGCCCCGACAGCCACTCTGGAGAGTCTCCTTGAGAGGAGGCCGGAAGTCAATAGTCCCATCCCCATCTCTCCCCAGATGTCCCTGACCCAGCCCTGCAGTCTGATCGTCCTGCCAAAGGAAAGGAAGACTTGTCAGCTCTGACTTGGGAGCCTCTGTCCCTGAGTCCATGGTGACAGTGGCCACTCTGACCAAGGAGGCACATGGCCACCCTCCCTGGGAGAACCCAGCTAAGTAAGCTTCCTGCGACCTACATATCTGAGCAAGGTAAACCCATTACTAAGCCCGACAGCTCGCCCCACGTCATCTGCCGGAAGAAGCTCCAGGCTCCCCGTGGCCCTCAGGGGAGCCGGCTGGGCGGACGGCAGGCAGGCTGCGGGCAGGAAGAGGCAGGGAAGTGAGTTACACAGGGCTGGGGTGCTGGAAGCAGCCTCTGGATTGAAGTCAAACACACCCACCCCTTTGCACTCTGTTAAAAAGGAAACGCCATTTGTGGAATGCCCCAACCCAGGGGTGACAAGCCTGCTCAGAACAGACAGGAAGCTTCCCCCAGGCTAACCCGTGTCTGTGACTAACCAGAAAGGGAAGTGACCCAGCCTCTCTGCACTCAAAATTTTAGTGACTAAAAACCATTTTTTTTCTTTCCCGATAACATGCACATTTATTTTAAATAAATTTAAGTTATTTGTTTAGTATTCAAAATTCCCCAAGCTAAATAAGTGATGTTTTAAGAAGGTCACATTTATGTTTCTGACATTATTAAAGCTTAAAACTGCGCTGAAACTTTCAAGATACTTTGTGTTTCTGTGTGTTATGTGTGTGTGTGTAGAGCAAGAGAGAAAAAAGGGTAAAACAAATAGTTAGTTGAGAAAACTGGATAAAGGATATAAAAAGCTCTGTGCTTATCTTAAAGTTTTTCTGAAAGTTTAAAATTATTTAGAGTAAAAGGTTTTAAAATCTATCAAAATTCCTGCCTATGTTTGAAAATGAGATCACAGCCCCAAGAATTCAGCACAATTCACAGGCTGTGAGTTTGAGCTGCTTCATGGGCAAAATGGGGCCCTTTGTAGACTAGAGTATTCTATAGGTCAATAAGAGATATCAGAAAAATGGGCCACCAATATTTATTGCTAACCTCACACCAAATTTCTAGCTGAGAAGTTGCCGTTTTATCCCTATTTTTCAACTGCCAACCCTCTCCTCCCTCAATCACTTGAATCTTCCTCCTTGCCCTCACATTTCTACACTATCAAAAATTTTTAGTAAAAGTACAAATTAATTTATTAATTAATTAAAAACAAAGACCCAGTCTAAGAGTGCCCCACATTGCTAAAACTGTCACATCCGGAGCCAGACTGCCCAGGTTCAAATCCCAGCTTTATCACTTATGTGCTGTGTGACCCTAGGGGCTGATCACTTAACATCTGAACCTCAATTTTCTCATCTGTGAAACAGGAATAATAATATCTACCCACAGAGTTGTAATGATAATTAAATGAGTTAATCTGTATAAAGGGCTTATATCAGTGACATACATAACAAGTTCCATGCAAGTATTTGCTCTAATAATATAGCATTATCATTATCCTCATCAACATCAACATCTTTTCTTTGCAAACTGCTTGAAAGGGGCAGCTGCAGAAACAGCTGGAAACAAAGAAATCTTGGAGCTGGGAAGATGGGGAAGGAGGCTGGAATAGACAAGGTCCTGGGGGCAGCAATTAGAAGAATCATTAGCTTTGGAACTTTAAAACAATAAATATTCATGATGTGTGAGAAAGTATGATACACAACTGTATGATCTTAATTACATAAAAATGGATGCTTAGTTGTGTAAATACACAAACGAGACCTAGAAGGACACATCAAATGGTAAACTGCTCATGATTTTGGATGACTGTGTCTTCTGCTTCTTGTGTTTTTTGGTTTCCTAGTATGCACATGTTAACTTTTAAGAAATAAATATTTTTCTAAAAATCTTTTTTAAAAAAGTCACCGCAGAAGTGATGCAGCAAGCGTGCACCTGAAGGAGGGCATCCCCTTAATTTACAAACCCTGCTCCTAAAAAGTCAAGGCAAGACTCACATGAATGCCCATGGGATATGGGGGGGGGGGGTGCGGTGCAAGTCCCAAAGGCGAAGGCAGGAGGCAGAGGTGGCTCCTTCCAAGGGCCATGGGGAAAAGAGTGACTAATCAGTATTTGTTGGCAAACAGAAGGAGGAAGATGCCAACTGGAGGCTGCTGGCCACCTGCAGAAAGGAGCAATGTGGCGAGCACTGGGCAGGGTGAGGAGACCCACTGACTGGCAGCTTTCATGCACACAATGAATCAATGAGCCAATCTCTGCAGCCCTGTTACAGAGGGATAGCAGAGAGACCTCCAGGCACCGGCATCCGATGAGCAACGCACCCGTTTCAGTGGCTGATGAAAAGCGACCTAAGGACAGTGTCCCCATCAATGCTCACAGTCTGAAAAGCTCTGAACACAACCCCCGCCCCTCCTTGGCAGCAGGTTAAAGACCAGGATTAGCCCTTTTCTCTGGTAGAGGGAAAAGGCAGAGTTTGCATTAGGTCCCAACTATGGGAATTCAGCAACAAAGTGGAGTCAAGAGAAGGCACTGGGCTTCAACTCAAAGTCCAGCCCAGAGCCAGTAAGTTTTCTGCAGAACTTAGTCATGAACATTGCTGTGAACACACCCTCCCTAAAACAAATATTTGGCAAGCTCTGAATAATACATATCCTGACAGCAGCCATGACTTAGGAGGCGAGCTCTAAACGGAGGGGAGGGGTCAGAATATCTGCAGGAGAGGGGGAGGAGCAGAACAGGACCAGAAATGACTGCAAGCCTGCCCAGGGCTGCCCACAGCCTGATCACAGGGCTCTCAGTGAGCCCACCACCCACCACAACCAGATGGGGACGCAGGAGGGCGGACAGGCCCTTCTGAGCACACGCATGGCCTCGGCCAGCAAAGGAAGGCAGCCCTTCCGTTGGCCAGGGTTACAAGTGTGAGAGGAAGGGATGGTGACTTTCCAGGCAAGGCCCTGCCCTCGCTGCTTTCCACGCCAAGGTCTCGTAGGAGACTATTCAGTTGGGAAGCCAGGAGCCCTTTAGAATAGTCCTGGGGCTCTGAACTCAGATTCCTGCTGTCCCACAGGTGACAGCCACAACCAACAAGGCTTAGGCCTTGGGGGAACTGGGTGAGGAGGACAATGACTTGGAAAAAGGGCTTTCACCCAAGGGCTCTGCTCTCCCTCTGCTGGGGAACCACGCCAGGATCCTTAGGGAATGAATGCATTTACCCGCTGGGCCTCCTCTTTATACCCCTCACCTGAAAGGACCAGTAGCCCACTCCCATCCACCAGCTCATTCACACGGTGGGGATATCTTCAGGCAGTCATACCCTTCCACCCAGGAGTCCTTCTCTATGTGTGCCTATGATGGACTTGTCCAGGGGCTTGGCCCACCACTGCTCTGGGGCTGGTTCCTGGAGATACCCTGGAGCCTGATGCTTAGGCCACAGGGGCTAGTCAGAAGGGAAGTAGAGACCTACCTGGCTTCCACTGCCATGCATGATGTTCTCTGGGGTGTCATAAGCCTCAGACTCCATATGAACAGCCTGGTTCTGCTCGTGATTCACCTGCACCCGTAGAATTCGAAAGGAAGATCCGCCAAGATCCAGGGCAATGAAATCTCCCTTTTCTGTTAGGGAGACAATAACAATACATCAGATTCAAGTGCCCTGGGAAGGCCACACGCTTCACCCACTTCTCAACAGGGTCTGGCCCCACTGCACTGTGCTTTTGGCCACAAAACAGGAGTCACGTAGACCCATAGTCCATAGCTCCACTGATTCTCCAGGGGATTTTTTTTAAATTGTAGTAAAATACACATAACATAAAAATTTCCACTGCAACCATTTTTCAGTGTACAACTCATTGGCATTAAATATGTTTACAATGTCACACAACTACCATTACCATTCTCAAAAATTTTCATCATCCCAAACAGAACCTCTATAACCATTAAGCAGTAATTCCCCATTTCCCCTGTCCCCAGCCCCAGGCAAACACTATTCTACTTTTTATTTCTATGAATTTGCCTACTCCAGATATTTCTCATAAACAAAATCATACAGTATTTGTCCTTTAGTGTCTGGCTTATTTCACATTGTATCAAGTCTCAAGGGTTTATCTATGTTATAGCCTATATCAGTAGTTCACTCCTTTTTCAGGCTGGATGATATTTCATTGTATGTGTATCCATTCATCAGATACTGGACACTCGTGTTGTTTCTGCCCAGGAAATGTTTTTAACAGAAGTCCCTCCTGGTCACACAAGAGTGAACTGGCTTGAACTGGTTTTATTCCTCACGACCAATGTGAGCGTGACTGGGGTGGACCTCAGTGGGTTAGAGAAAGACAACAGGCCTGCATGTCAAGACTACCATAGAGCACCGATGAAGGTGGCCGTGATGAGAAACCAAACCACTAAGCCACCATCTAACAGTCTTTATCCTAGGTACCCTCCAAAATCAATGAAAATCTGTTAATTTTACTTCTGATGTTACATTATCACTGTCTCACTATCACCTTATTTTCTTGATGATGACTTTTGAAGCGTAAGAGTTTATAATTTTGATGAAGTGCGACTTACCGAAAATCTTCTATGGTTAATGCTTTTGTTGTCATATCTAAAAATCCATTGCCAAATTCAAGGTCACAAAGATTTGTACCTATGTTTCCTTCTGAGAGGTTTATAGTTTTAGTTCTTACATTGAGGTATTTTATTCATTCTGAGTTAACTTGTGTATATGGTCTGAAGTAGAGGTTCAGCTTCCTTCTTTGGCACATGGATTTTTGTTGTTTAGTTGCTGAGTCATGTTTTTTGCAAGCCAACTGACTATAACCCACCAGGTTCCTCTGTCCATGGATTTCCCAGGCAAGGATACTAGAGTGGGTTGCCATTTCCTTCTCCAGAGGATCTTCCCAACCCAGGGATCAAACCCATGTCTCTTATGTCTCCTGCACTCGCAGGCAGATTCTTTACCACTGAGCTATGGGGTAGCCATGTCAAAAAACAACACAATTTGCTAAACAGACTATTCTTTCCCTCACTGAAAAGTCTTGACACCCTTGTCAAAAATCAAGTGACCATAAATGTATGGATTTCTGAACTCCCAATTCTTTTTTTCCCCCAGTTTTGAGATGTAATTGACATAATGAACGCTCAATTCTGATTCATTGGCCTGTATATCTACCCTAACAGCAGTACCACACTGACCTGACTGCTTCGGAAAATTTGAAACTGGGAAGTGAAAAGTCCTCCAACCCTGTTCTTCTTTTGCAACATTGTTTTCACTATTTTGAGCCCCTTGAAGTTTTTATTTTTTTTTAAGTAATGGATTGTTGGGTTTTTTAAACTTCTTTTTTATAAACTGACACCCTCTTTGTATTTGATTCCAACAAACTTTAGGCTCTGACACACTGCTCTATTTCTGGAACTTAGAATGGTTGTTTGGCAGATAGTATGAACACAACCAATATTGATACTTGAATTAATGAGGGTGGCAAAGGAATCGAGGAATAAACCAAAGACATCTACAACTGAATTTCTGTTCTTATCCTCTCAAGCTCTTTGAGGGAAAAATCACAACTTAGGATTCTTTACATGTGCCCTTGGTACCCAGGGTAGTTCAATAAGTGCTTGATAGCTGCTTGATCACAAGGGTTGGTGGCCCATTCATTCATTCAAGGAAGTTTGGCTTGTTGTTCATTAAACAGGAAGCAGTTATACCACTGATTAGTTGTTTGTGTTCTTAGTAACAGCTTTTCTGAGAAATAATTAAAATATCACATTTGATTTTATTTTTATTATTTAGCCATGCCACATGGCTCAAGAGGGCATGGGCATCAAACCCATGTCCCCTGCAATAAAAGAGTGAAGTCCTAACTGCACGACTGGACTACCAAGGAAGTCTCCATCTATCACATTTTGAAGTGTACAGTCTGGTGAGTTTTAGTATATTTACATCACCAGTATCTAATTACAGAAATTTTTCATCATCCACAAAAGAAACTCTATACCCATTAGCAGTCACTCCCCATTTCCTCCCAAACTGCCTCATCCACTAACAACCACTAATCTACTGTCTGTCTCAAGAGATTTCCTTATTCTGGACATTTCATTACAATGGACACATAGAATATGTGGTCCCCTGTGGCTGACTTCTTTCATGTACCATAATGTTTTCAAGGTTCACCTGCATTGAAGCATATACCAGTACCTCATTCCTTTCTGTGATGAGTTATATTCCACAGTATGGGTATACCACATGATGTTGCTGTTTTAAAACTGCTTCTGTGGTCACAACAAACTGTGGACAATTCTTAAAGAGATTGGAATATCAGACCACCTTACCTGCCTCCTGAGAAACCTGTATGCAAGTCAAGAAGCAACAGTTAGAACCAGGCATGGAACAATGGACTGGTTCAAAATTGGGAAAGCAGTATGTCAAGGTTCCTTGTCATCCTGCTTATTTAACTTGAATGCAGAGTACATCAAGCAAAATGCCAGGCTGGACGAATCACAAGCTGGAAACAAGGTTGCCAGGAGAAATGTCAACAAGCCCAGATATGCAGATGATACCACCCTAATGGCACAAAGCAAAGAAGAACTAAAAAGCCTCTTGATGAAGGTGAAAGAGGAGAGTGAAGAAGTTGGCTTAAAACTCAATGTTCAAAAAACTAAGATCACAGCATCCAGCCCCATCACTTCACGGCAAATAGATACAGAAAAAATGGAAACCATGGCAGACTATTTTCTTGGGCTTCAAAATCACTGCAGACGGTGACTGCACCTATGAAATTAAGAAGCTAGCTCCTTGGAAGAAAAGCTATGACAAACCTAGACAGTATATTAAAAAGCAGAAACAACGCTTTGCCAACAAAGGTCTGTATAGTCCAAGCTATGGTTTTTACAGTAGTCATGTACAGACGTGAGAGCTGGACCATAGAGAAGGCTAAGCACCAAAGAATTGTTGCTTTCAAACTGTGGTGCTGGAGGAGACTCTTTGATCCCTTGGACATCAAGGAGATCAAGCCAGTCAGTACTAAAGGAAATCAACCCTGAATGTTCAGGAAGGACTGATGTTGAAGCTAAAGCACCAACACTTTGGCCACTTGATGTGAAGAGCCAGCCTCCTGGAAAAGACCCTGATGCTGGGAAAGACTGAGGGCAGGAGGAGAAGGGGGCGACAGAGGACAAGATGGTTGGATGGCATCACTGACTCAATGACATGAGTTTGAGCAATCTCTGGGAGATAGTGAAGGACAGAGAAGTCCAGTGTGCTGCAGTCCATCGGGTCACAGAGTTGAACACAGCTTAGCAACTGAACAACAATGATCCAAAGGAAAGAGGCCAAGTGAGAATGCTAGGAAGAAGGTGCCTCAGCTTTGTGAGAAATTCTGACCCTGATGTTATAGGTCATTCAAATTAGTTTAGGGTTTTCCCTGAGTTCCCATCAGAAACCTAATTCCAATAGTGCTTACACTACTACTGGGTAAAAAAAAAAAAAATTTGGTATGAGAAGGTTCCTTCTCAGGAGAATGAATTACTAAAACATCAGAAACACTATCTTCACTATCATTCATTGAGCCTTTCTGTTCTCCAGTTGCTAAGTACTTCTTATGCCTCATTTTAATTTTAACCCCTCTCCACTCTATGAAGTAGGTACTATTATGATCCCCATTCTGCAGATGAGCAAGTAAAGTCTAGGAGGGGTTAGGGAACTTGCCCAAGCACACAGCCAGTAAGTGACAGAGCCAGAATTTGAATCCAAAGCCCAAATTCATAGCCATTGGATACAACTGCCTCTTGGACAGACCTCAGGAACAAGGATCCCCAGGGACGGCATTAGAGTGAGATGTCAGCACGTCAGGAATGGCTACATCTCTCTATAAACCACTTGTATACAGGGAAACAGTACACACAAAGGTGAACACTGTGCTAGGATAAAAATATGGGTGCTTTTCCTTCCTAACATTTTTATTTAATTAATTTATTTACTGTTTTAACTTAAAAAATAAAGCCAGTTATTTATTTTACATTTTGTACCGGCTTTCATCATAACTTAAAAAAATAGCTTGAGAAATCTTGATAAATCAGTCAGGCCAAAAGTCTCATCTTCACTTGAATCAAGGGACTAATAAGTAAAAGCAGGTTCTTGTGCTCAAGTTCCACATGATGGTGGGGGATCTCTTGCTTACTGGTGTCATTGTCAACACACAACAGGTAAGAGTTTTAGCCCTTTGTGCAGGAAGGAATCCAGTTTCAGGCAGTACCTCTGAAGCCCCAGGTCTCAAGTTTTCAAGCAGGATAAGTTTAAATGATCTCATCTGCCTCTAGGTCAGGGAAGAACCTGGCCTTAGGGTGCATGGAGCCGGCCCACACTTCTGCTCTGTAAGACCCCTGCCCCATCCCAGCCTCCCACCACAGTCTGTCCACCCCATTTCTCCTTTTTTTTTTTTTTTTTTTAACAAACACAGGTCAATAGGGTTTCAGGGAATTAGGGGCAGAGAAGGAGACCAGAAAAGTTAACCTTGAGATGATTTGTGAAGGGGCCTCTCCCTGAAGGCATTTTACAAGAGGTCACTGTTAAGCCCAATGCAGCCCCTGATCCTTTCCTGAGCAGTCACCCTGAT